ATGAAATTAGCTATAAAATGCTATATCTTCGGTAATACAGTTACGATCAGTATAGCAAAAAAATTGCATTTCCTTGCGGATACAAGTGTATATAACCACTTAAACCTATTAAATCAGGATAAATAAACTATTAACTAAAACGAATTTTTTAAAATAAAAATTTGTAAATAGTTTATAAATAATTCAAATGCGTTTTTTTTTATATCTAGAACATCTTCAGAGGCAAATTTGCCAGACCTTTTTAAGCTTCATGATAAAATCCTGTCGCTTAGTGTGATAACAAATGGCGAGTTCGGCCCACAGTGCGTACCCTATATGGCGGCCTGTTTTGTGGTGAGCATTTTCGGGATTTTCCTGGAAACCAAGGTCAACTTTGTTGTGAGCGGAAAGAGTCGCCTGCTGGATTATATGACCCATTTGTATGTGATTTGGAGCTTTACCACAATGGTAGTTGCATACATCGTGCTTCGGCTTTGTTGCAATGCCAATAATCACTCCAAACAATCGGCCATGATTGTCCATGAGATAATGCAGAAGAAACCGGCCTTCATGCTAAGCAACGATCTCTTCTACAACAAAATGAAATCATTCACACTTCAATTTCTTCACTGGGAGGGGTTTTTCCAGTTCAACGGCATAGGCCTCTTTGCTCTGGACTACACTTTTATTTTCTCGGTGAGTTTTTGGTACAGGCAACATTAAACTCACAATATTCATTAATTTCATTTTCCAGACTGTGAGTGCAGCCACATCCTATTTGATTGTCTTGCTGCAATTTGACATGACTGCAATTCTGCGCAACGAGGGGCTGATATCATAAAGGGTTCAGACAAACTCAATTAAACACTTTTTTAAAAGTAACTTTTTATCACAATTTATCTTTTTATCTTTTTTAAACACTCTTGGTGAAAAATGTTGTGCCTGTAAAGTCGAACAAAAAGCACTCTTTTGATGAGAAATTAAAAAAAAGCTTGATATGTTAAATGTTAAGTATTTATTATTGTTACAGTGTTTAATTCATATATACGAAGAATATACATTTTTTAATTTATTTATCATAATCATATAATACCCAAATTAAATAAATTATATTTTTTAAAATTAAAATAATATTATTTGTGTTTATTAAAACCTTGAAATAGTGGCCCGTAGCTTATTAAAAAATATATAAAGCCAAAGCTTACATTTTCCAATTACAAATCTAGTCTCAAATGTAATAATACGGACACCTCACAAATTTTAGCCCATTTCTGGCGCTTATCCGTCAAATGGTACCTGATAAATCACTCATCCAAAGACAATTTCTGAGAGTAACCAAAACGAAGTGCGGAAAAAATCGACTGGGGGAACGAAGGCTCCTGTTGAGCCCCGCGATAATCGCATCAGGCAACACTTTGGGCTCCCCATGAAGGACGCGAAAAGGGGGCGGGGGAGGCACCAGGGGTTACTAACGCAATTTCTATCAAATGTCAATTGAAAACCCGATTTGCCAGTCATCAGTCAGGGCCTCTTTTCCGCACTCAGTCCACAGTTTGCGGCCATCAAACGGAAGCCAGAAACGAGGAGAAAAGTGAAAACGAGGCGGAGGAAGGATGCTCGGCGGGAGAAAAAAGAACATGAAGCAATTTCCGCTTTCAATCACGTTTAGTGCAGCGGAAATGTGTGCAGAAATATGTTTCTTCTCCCTTTTTGTATGCAAATTTTTCAACCGGAATGAGGTTAGATTGTAAATTGCATTTCGGTGCGGGTTAATCTATTTTCACGAAAAAGTGAGGAAACCGGCTACCGGCTTAATTAATTGCTCATCATATGCAAAGAGTATCCAATTTAATTGATTTTTTTTGTCACACTATCTATCTCTTTTCGCTACACATTTTTCGAACAAGACATACTGCTCGTCTCACATTACACACTTTATCAAAGCACTGAAAATTTTTAGTGAGCTGTTGCTTTTAGAAATTATAAAACATCATTCAAAAAACATTATCATAAAAATTCCCTAGAAACCCATTGTTTCACAAAGTAAATATTAAATTTAAAAATAAAATATAGCAAGCTAAGTATGATATAATCACCAATATTATTCGCTCTACATAAATTACTTTAGCCATATCTGAAATAAAGAATTATTTTTAGTGAGAGATACTGAATTCCCTAATTACAATTTTTATTCTGTGTGCATATTCTCTACGTGCATGGTTTCAATGGCTACCAGAACACATCCTGAACACGTAAATCAATATGTGGCTCGATTGGCTCGTTTGCACACGAACCCTCCATGAAGGAGAAATAAATAAAGAGCCTGAGGGACCTGGGGAGAATGGGGCTGAAATGTGGTTGTCCTGGTCAGTGAAATGGCTGGAAACAGAAGCAACAGGCAACACACATATTACCTGCAAATTACGTCAACTGTTGCTGCGAGGAGGAATATAGTTAGATCCGGGGGGTCGGTCATGAGGGCTGGGTTAAAACAGGTCGGATCCGAGTAGGTTAAAGGCAAAATGCTCTTTTTTTCAACGGAATAAGTACGTATAAAAAGTACACTGTTCGAATTCCTACAGAATCCTTAGCCAGACTTTCTTCAAAATATAAGGTCAAAATATTCTTTCATTTTGTGGGATGTTTTTTATAAATAACAAGAAAATTAAAAAAGCAACTTTTGTTCAATATGCGACATACATAAATTCTGTAATAATTGACCATAGTTAATTAGCTGTCAATCACTTTCTTCATTTTTAAAACCTTGCAGAGGGTATAATGATTTCAGTCAGAAGTATGCAATGAAATGAAGGAGACGTACCCGACCACACAAAGTTTATATGTTCTTGATCAGCAACTTTAGACGAGTCCATCTCGCCATGTCCGTCTGCTCGTGTGAACGCTGTGATCTCGGAAAATATAAATGCTTGAGAGTTGGGATTTCAGATTTAGATTCCTCATCTTCGTACGATTGGTTTCGTCAACACCTAACGATTGACTAAAAAAAAAAGTTTGCACGGCCACTCTAACGCTCATAAACGCCCATAACCCATAAATTTGTCTGCCGCCTACACTACCATATATTGAAATCGCAAGTAGGTGGCGCTTTACAATCTCGCCTTGCTGCTGGTATGTCTCCATCTCCCTTCTGCTCCCGTAGCTGAGTAACGGATATCTGATAGTCGAGGCACTCGATGGGTTGTTGGTATTTGTCATGTAGATTATGGACCTTTTTTTTTATTTTGTAAAAATGAGGTTTTGTTTTTATTATCAATACATGGAGAGGGGTGGAGGTTTCACGTTATGTGGCGTGTTAGTAAAATCTCGTAAACAGCCGCTAGGAATGAACGATAGGTGACGCTATCGCTATATACTACTACTATAACGTTTTCTCTTGTTTTAATTGTGCTTCTAAACGGCTCTTTTTTGATGATGATGGATACATGAGTGCCCTAATGGGCAAGTATCCCGTACGAACTTAAATGTTTTTTTCAGTGAGAAGCTTAGCATTGGCCACGTGACATCTGCGAGGCAATGTGAAATGTCAGAGCACTTTTAAGAGTTCATTTAGACAGTAGCAAATTCTATCCTGAAACGCTTAATTCAGTGGATGTGCATGGAAAACAGGGGCAGGAAAAGACGGACACACAGCATACAAATGCCAACAGGTTGTTGCTGTTGTTTGAGTAATTGCGGCTAAAAAGGTAATGGCTTTTCAGGGGAAAGAGTTCACTGGGTCCAACATAAAAGTGTGTTGAATGAATGTGTAACTTATTTATAGCTCATTTGGGTAAGCTTACCCCACCTCAGTTTATTTGTCTTCTACTTAGTCAAGTATTTGCTTAGCTTAGTTTATAAATAAAGAACATTGAATCAACATTTTAAAACCAGATAATGAAATAATAAGATTTTTATATAATTTGACATGAATTATATAAATTTGATTTTATTTTAAGTTAAAGTATTTATAATTATTTACTTTCTTCTATGTTTTAGAGCTAAAATATTTGATTTAATACCAGCTGTGACTTAAAAATCTGACAAAATTTAAAACACTCAGTAAAGATTTCTAAAACTTATAAGATTTCTATGTCATTCCAGATGTTGTTTAATATATAGCAAAAAGTTATGCAAAAAAAATGAAATCAAAAAGAGCTTACTTAAGCTATTTTTATTTTAGATTTTTTTTAGTTTTTCCTATATAAACAGACGACTTACAGTCACTAAATTGTTTAAAAAAATGTTCGTAGGGTCTTAAATATTCCGTAAAATTAAAGGGTGGCATTATAATTGTAAATTAAAACATATATGTATCACCAGCGCAAATCGAGATATAAGTTTTCCGAAAAAAAAGTTTTAAAAACTCAACCATAAAAAAAGTAGTTGACTATTTTTTGTGGTCTACACAGGCAAAATTATGATTTTCTCAATTTGGGTATTTGAATACTAAATTTGAGGATGTACCAAACTTAAGTACACATTTCGAGGAAAAAACTCACATTCAGAAAAATTTAACTCATTCCCTATAGGGATCCAACTCTACCAGGAACTGTTATCAACTTTTTGGTGCATTCTCCAAAAATATATATTGTACGTTAATGGTTTTAAAATTTTAGCAATTTTTATAGGTAAATTAATGCAGTATTCATAAAACGGAGTATGTAAATTGATGTATGCAAATTTTGACATTAGTCTGACAACACTGTCACATGCCGAAAGCTTTCACACTACAGGTGTCTGTCCGAGCGAGACAGCAACGCCGGAGAGAGCGGGAGCAAGAAAGAGAGCCAGCCGAGCGACAAGTGTGGTGAGTTTCGGAACATCCTTGAGGACGCAGTCACCCTTGGCCAAGCGAAGGCAAATTGTGCGAGGACTTCCAGGCGAAATCAAATCAAACTGATAACAGGCGGGTGGAAGAGAGAGGGACAGACACACGACCGCGAGAGAGCGGACAAGCACAAGCACGAGCGAGCACGAGTTGGACTTTTCTTCAGCAGGAGCCACGGATACCGCGACAGTTCGTGGGGGAGTTTCGAGTGAGTCGGTTGTGCCATAGCGGAATAACGGTACACCGCATCCTTCAGAGAGGGGAGCCTGTGTGTGCGAGTGTGAGTGTGTGGGTGCCTTATCCTCAGTGGCCAGTGTTGTTGTAAGGAAAACGAAAGTTTTATGCGGTCTACTTCAAAAACTCATGTTCAAGGAATAAAAACAAAACCTGACAAAAATAAGTTATTTTACTAAAACCTTGAAAAATACTTGAAATTTAGCTAAAAAGGTTTTAGAAATACTTTAAAAACACTCATCCCTGATTAATTATCAAAAACCAAAACTAGACAATTGAGTGATTGAAATTTAAAATAATCTAATCAAAGGAAAAAATATGTTTTGATATGAACTCTGTTGAATAATCAGCCCAGCAGACTGCGCAGTTTGGCGCCGCGTGGGCGTCTGCCCCAAAATACAAGAAGTAAAATGGAGAACAAGGCAGAAAAAATAAGAAGTAGATAAATCCTACCTAGGCGAAAACGGTGTGTCCGCCTCCGACTTTTACTTACAGGTTGTCTTTGGAACTCTTCTGCAAAACGGAAACATTTCTTAAGCCTTGTTTTATGGTTTAGGATCTTATTGGAAGATAAAAACAAAGTATTTTATGTTCGTTAGTCTTAATACCAATACCTAATTTCAAATAATAAAAGTAACTTGAAGTCTCTCATTTGGTTGTTCTTTCTACTTGAGATCTGCCTTCCTAAGAAACATATTATAACAGTTTCTACTTCTTTATTAGTCACTTAATTTGCGTAGTTTCTATGCTAAAGTTTTGAAAATGTATTCACTTTAAACTTTTAAGAGGCATGTTTATTTTTGTACTTAAGAGAATAACGGAAAATGAAGTGAAACTTCTTAAGAAACTATGTAAATCTCAGGAAATTGTAAAGTTCCGTACTGTTATCAGGTTTTGCATAAAATCTTCACCGATAAAACTCCATTTTTGTTTTTTTTTTGAACCGGGCACTTGAAGAAAACTTATATCTAAGCATCATACAACTTATTTTGAATTCCTTTAATAAAATCTTAGAAGTTTGATATTTGTTTGGTTGCAGCTCACGACATACGTTTAATTAAAATTGTTCCTCTGGTAAAGGTAAAGAGCTGCATATTTTCTGTAACCATTTTTGTTTTTTACTGTTTACTTTAATTAGTTCAGTTTAGTTATCCGTTCAATACCTCTGAAGTCCTTGGAACTTTTCCCTTTTGCAACTTCAGCATTTGAAGAGCATTCAACATTCCGCATGCCATAGAAAAGACAACTTTCCACTGCTTTCTCCAGCATTTCTCCGTCTTCTTCTTGGCGTCTCGCTTTCACTTGGTCATGAAAATCAAAGTCCCCCGTGTGCCCTGTCGATGTATTGGCCACATCTGTGTGAATTGCCACTGTGTGAGTGCCTACCCACACACACACGTGTATATAAAGTTCAGGGTGTTTGTTGTGGGGGCGTGAAAAGTTTGTCTTCCTGTTTGAGTTGCGTATTTGGGCGCCATTTCAGCATTCCGCTTTTTATTTACTACAAATTGCTTTGCATTTTTGTTCCATTTCTTCTTGTTCATTTTTTTCGTTTTTTGTATTATTGCGTTTAATGCGCTGTTGGCAATTTGTTGGATATAAAAATTACACCGCACCCACACCATCACCGGCGCCATGAAATATTGTAATTAACTTTTCAGCCGACGGGCAAGCCGATGGAAACTTCCGGCCTTAATGAGGCGGCAACAGGTTCCTCGGCAGCTTCAATTAAGTTTTTTTTTAATAAGCGACAGTTCACGGCTAATAAATATTCATAAATATTCACAGCTCAGCTGTTGGCGATTTTCAAAGTACTAACTAGGAAATAAAATCATCTCGCCCGTTCCCTCTGGCAAATTTTGAGTGTATTTAAAAGTTTTTTGCTCTTCAGAAAGTTTTTGCAGCAACTTTTCTCCGTTGTCCTTGTCGGCTGCACGGAACTTTTAGTTCCATTCATTATTAACGATAATGTGTGCTCGGCTCCTCTGATGCTCAGTTGAAAAATGCCAGTGGCACAAAGTTGGCAATTAATTGCAAACTACCGAGTGCAGTGCAGGAATGTGGTATTTCACACAGGAATTTTAAGCAAAGTTGGTCACTTCTAAATATGAATACGTAAATGAAATAGCTTAGTCATGACTTAGGGCCCAGAAAATAGCAGACTATCAAGGCGTCTGAAAATAAAACTACTATATGAAACTAAGTGCTGTAACGTATGAAGGTTAAATATCTTAAAACTGTCTATCAGCTGAATATTCTAAATATATGTTTTCCTCTTAAAGCTTAGAAAATTAGTGCATTACTTTCTATCTTGCAGCTTAAGCACTTAAAATCAGCTTACTCTAAACCATATACAGGTTCTTAGTTTGCTATCGATGAACAAAAAATGTACCGGTTAGATGGTACCCATTCCACGAATCTTATCTACAGTTCTATGAATATTAAGCCAATAACAAGCTCGGCACAAATTACGCTTAAACTCAACGAGCAAACAATGCATAAATTGAAATAAAGCCAATGCCAGCAATAACGAGCCAAATCTACGCCCACGCACATTTTAGAGGCTGACAATAGCAAATACCATTTCTAAAATATATTTAAATATTTGTGTACACATAGAAGCAGCAGCCCCACACCAAATTGAATAATTCCAGACAATAAAAGAATCGTTAAAGTGGAAGGAGATGATGAAGTGAAAATAACAAAATCAGTGATAGCTGAAACAAACAAAGGAAATAAATAATAACGATACGATTAAATTAAAGGAAAGACGGAAGAAAGCAGCCAAGTCTTTGACTTTGAAGAGGGCCAAACAAAAGTCAGAGCCATGATTTGAGCTTCAGGGGAAGGAGGTAAGTTAATCAAAGAAAAGTGATGAATTACCTCGTTAATTGCATTCAAGGAACAGATAAAACAATTGTTTAAAAAGTGAACAAAATATCATTAATTATAATTTATTTAAATCCGATAGACGCGTGGCAATCGTTATAAATATTCTGCACTTCCTAGCTGTCTAACAATATTAATTCCACAACCTTTTCTCATATTCACAAAAAACACACAACTAAGCCAATTTTCATGATTCATTCAACAACATTCAGTCAGCATCCCCAAAGTGCCACATAGATATTCCATTTCATCAAATGTATTAGCAAAATTAGAGAGCCAACCCTCGGGAGATTTAAATTTAGCCCAGGGCTCCGAGTATCTAAGTATGTACATACAAACATTCTATATGCAGTATATGCCAAATTATTGTACATAATTGAATCCGTTAAATTATTTACTCGTTGAGTTTTTGGGGGTGCAGACGAAGAGGCCTTTTAACCGCAGCTTGGTTCCTTAAAGTCCGCAAAGTGTAATAAAATTAAATGGCTTTAAGGCTTAAAATCCGACGGGGACTGGAAAGTATGCTACAAATTCCCGACATAAATATTGATGTATCTCAGCGGACTTGTGTATGCGTTTTACTGTTCGTTCACCTTTTCTTCTCACTCGAGACTAAAAATAAAAACAGATTAAGAACCGACCCATGTCTACTGGGTAAATATTCAGGGCTCTGACCCTGGGTAGACATTGAACCAGCAGACTCTACTTCTTGAATAACTTTGCATATACTTGCGTGGTATACCAACGATCCACATAGTCACTTTTATCTATCTATAATTCAAATTTAAATTGAAAATCCTATAAACTCATTTTGGCTACATATTAGTTACCCAATAGATAACAAAACATAATTTTCGTTTAAATAAATAGAATTATAGCTGTTTTGCCCGAAAGGAAATTTGAACAATTAAACAAGGGCGAAGGACAAAGTTTCGGTTAAATCACTCTTAAACAAACTCGTTAAACAAAAACAGGAAAAGATGACAGCCTTAATTGTAAATAATTATTTTAATGGAAGTTGATAATTTCTTGAAATTACCTCGGGGCTAATTGGTAATAAGCTTGGGTTGTATTACTTTTGTTGTTTATTTATTTTAACTGTATTTATATGTATAATATTTTAATGAAATTTGCATTTCACTTTATTTGCTCGCTTGGGTCCATACTAAATAAATTTGCATATGCAAAGTCATGTGACATATTGACGAAAAGGAAAATATCTTTCAAAGTCACTGTTGCTCTTTTATTACTGCCAAGACAATCAAAGCCCTTTCATTTGTTATAATTAAACACAGCCTTGTTTGCTCGGATTAAGTATATTGCCTGCATTTGCTTTTCACATCAATCATCGCACTCGATGTCATACGATAATGCCCTACCAGCAGCTGAAAAAAAGGAAACACAAATATGGGGGGGCAGGAAATAATAGACCTTTCATAAGCCCTATATGTATGCGCACTTATGGGCGTGAGTCTGTGAGCATTTGAGCCGCTAGTCTGCTTATGTTCTTAGGGCTTATTAGCTGCTTATTCATTTCCCGGCTGAGTGTACTCTACCAAAACATACTCATCAGTAAAAAAAACAAAGTAGGAGCCATATGGCTTCGCCTGGCAGTGACAATAAATATTAATGGACAACGGAATTAATAGATATTTAAACAAATGTAACTCACTGCTGGTGCCATGAAATTAGAATTAAATCGAAATGGCCAGAAGCCCCAAGCACGAACCCTCCCATTCTAGTCCGATTGACTTGTATAAGCTTTCTTTATTATGAGTCGATTGTTTTCGGCTAATGACATTACAATATTATAGACCTGCCACGGGCCACTATAAAAATAAAACAATAATATGCATGGTAAAGTTGCTATTCTATAAATCCTGTATGTGTCCATGGTAATGCGATTGCCAGTTAATTAGCTGCAAACACGTAATGAGTTTTTAAAAGCAACATTGGTCTATAGGTATAGTAATGGGTGTTCCTAAATCGAACTTCTCCCAAAGTCTCCATAAGCAAAACTAGTTTGTTTTGCAAAAAACTGAAATATGTTGGTTATGAAAGTTAAACGAAATTGTTTTATATTTGGCTACCGGACCTATTTGGATAATTAATAAAAATAAATTACTGTTTTTACTTGTTTGTTTATTTTAATTACATTTAAAGGTAAGCCTGCCCAAAAAAGTTTAACTTCGTCCAGCAATTAGCGATGCAAGGGAATACAAAAAACAAGCTGAAAACCGGGCAAAAGCCACTGCTAATGAATAATCCGCACTGCCCTCAATCCCAACTTTTCTCATTACTCAAATCTATATGTACGTATATATCTGCATAAAATTCCCTACACAGGGAAAATAACTAAATACCTTCAAAGTGAACAAAATGGTTTGTCTAAAAGCAAGGAAAAGGGGCGTGGCATCCAGGAGGGCGTGCATTTTTTTAAACTGTTTGGCCAGATTCATTTGCATCTCCCAGTGGGCGTGGCCCAAAAGTCAAACGCCAAAGAGTTGCCTTTGAAAAGAAACAAATTTGCGCTTCCATTTTAATTTTGCCTGGTTTCCACCCAGTGACGCCGGTAAATCCTTTAAAAGTGCCAAGAAACTCTTGCAAACAAGCTGGGATTCTGTCTCTAAAGGCAGCTTCTGCACTTAATGGTCGCAAAAGTGCGATAAAGTGGGGAAAATAAATACCAAGATTGGGTGGGTCGAAAACTGAAATAAAAAATGGACGGTTTGAGGTTCCCATTTTCCTAGGACTATGATTTTAGGCGATGATAGTTTTTAAAGAACCCTCTTCAAAAGAGAAAGTAAAGGTCTATTAAGAACCTGTCGTATACGGATTTCCATTTTATATCATATTTATGTCTTTTAATATGCTCCAACAAACATTTTTCAATTAAGTTGTGTATCCGCTTTAAATAGAACACTTTTGTTTTAATAGACTGGGGTGGAAAAACTAATTTGCTAGAAAAAATACATTAATAATAAATTTTCTTGATTTTTCAAAAAACTTTTTGTAGCTATAAGACCATAAAATACTTTGCCAAGAGCGGCGACTGCACTTCAGACGTGGCGGTGCAGAACTTTAAGGACCATCAAGTAGAGTCATAATGTTTTATAACCACACACTCGCAAACCATCAAATGCACAATTAACCACAATTTTGTTGCTGTAATTTTATAGCACTTGTTCGACATTTAATTACGCTAATTTATATGCAAGCTGCAATTGACACGGCGACAGGGACGATGGCGACACCGTAGCTGTCGTCTAACGAATCCCTTTCATCCTTTTATGTTTTAATCTGGATGTGTCGCCCTTTGGTGGCTCGTTCTTTATATTGGTAGACTGTTTAACTGTTTAAGCTTTCGGATTTTTTTTGGCAGAAGAGTGGAAATTGATACTATATTTATGCACAGAGAAAATGCTGTCGCTCTCATCTGAGTTGAAAATGTTCTTAAAAATAAAACTACCTTTTTGAAGTTGAAAACATTTTCATTTAGCTCGAATCAAGTTGACAGTTTACATTTTTTTTCTTCCCATTTCGATTTCATTTTGAGAGCATTGATACCAAAACGTACTTACACAGCTTTTAAGAACGAATGTTCTCATTTCAAGAAAGAATATACTGGAAGATTTCACCCTGGTTGGAAGATGATTAATATGCATTCGTAGGTCTTCCTTTAAGGAGGAAGAAACATGGTTACCTTTAAGAGGGAGAATAGTCTTTTTAGAAATAGTAGTTTTAATATACTAAAAATATTTCTTGAAACTTGGGAGAGGTTTGCACTCCTCTTCTTACAAGCTGGAGAGTGGAATTGAAATAGTTTTTGTGTTCCTGAGAGGAGAATTTTTCAGAAGCATTTTCAGTATTTCTACGTCGCATTACCCTGCTTTGGTGGCTCCTGCTCCTGCTGCCCTCGAAAAGTATACTATATACAATATTCATGCCGTAAGGGCAATGCAATGTCAAAAGCTCCTTCCGCCCAGCGCCTCCGGCTTCCTGGGTAAAGACATCAAACGCAGCTGCTCCTGAATTCTCCGCTATTTCAGCTGCCCGTACTAAGTCTTTTTTAGTGGAACCTCCGCTTTTTCGCATTCCTTCCGCCAGCTTCACGTTGGGTTCTCCAGCGCATTTTCCACATGACATGGCGTTTAAAAGGGCCAAGCTGGAAAAAGTGAAAAAAATACAACAAAGAGCGAGTAAAACGAGCAGAGACAAAATTTGTCAACATGTTTATAAGTTTATTTCTTGTTGGCCCTCTTTCTTCTGGCACTTCTGTTGCTGTTTCTTACATTAATATTGGTCATTTGACTCTTGGACTTTCTGTTTCTGTTGTCAATTGTGCTGGTTTTTCTTCAATTGCCGCAGCTTGGTAGTGTTATTATGGGTTATTTTCTTGTGTTAATGGTTTCACTGTGAAGTCGCATCTTCTTGTTTTTATGGACCTTCATAAGTTCCACGCGAAATACCTTGGACTGGTATTTCATCGCGGAAAAAGTAGTGGCTTAATAAAAACTGTATCTTGCAGAACGGAAAGAAATGGTTTGTTTTTAGAGTTTGCTTTGAGGGACAATAAAGTTTTCATTTTGTATCGCCTATACAAAATGTATATAATTATCTAGACGTTACTGTTAAAATCTCTTAAATTATTTAATATATATTCTTATTTTAATAAGTTTTTGAGGAATTTTTGTCTAGTTCTTGGACAGCATTTTCGTTTAAGGTTAAGGGTAGCAAACATATTTCCACCACTTTTGTTTCTGAATATATTTAATAGATATTCTTAATTTCAATTTATATTTAGGAATTTTCGTTTCATTTCTTGGGAATCGTTTTTATTTAAGGTGAAGGGTAGCAGAACACATTTCCACCACTTTTATTCCTGAAGATACACTTGGTGCATCTGTTTCTTATGACGCCATTAGTGCCAGTGGCAATGTGGCTCTCCAGCTGTTACCACGGCTATCTCACTTGATGTTTTTGCAGTTTCAACGACACTTTCTGTCGCCTTTCGACTTCACTGCCTTAAAGGGCATGGGAAAAACACTTGCACCTGTCCAAAGTTGCAGACATGAAAGTAAACTTTTATTTATGGAAATGGGTTAAATTACTTCCTCGTTTGAGGGAAAAGGCAAACAAGCTTTGAGCTATTTAGCAGAGTAGCCGCTCCTTTGCTCCTCGGCCAGTGGCTTTATTTGGGGACCCATGGATGCTGCCATTCATCGCATAAACCATATCTATGCCTTCTGGGACCCTTTCATGAGCACGTTTTTATCTGCTTTACACATTTGTGCGTCTCTCGAAATGGGAAAAGAGCTTGGGGGAGGGTCAAGCGAGGGTCGGTGTCGGTCCTTCAAGCCCCATTTAGGGTTCGCCCGCAAAGGATCCTTTCATTCAGTCCACTCGCTCCCCCAGCAATTGTGCGTTTTAGCCGCATTCTGCTGATTTTGTCAGTTTTCTCTGTCATTGATTTTCGATCATAATAATTTCATGTGCTTTATGTGCCGGAAAGTGCCCGCTAAAAAGGACGACAACCATCTGCCAATCCATTGCAATGCATTTATCCTGCTCATATGCGATGATTTCAGCTCTGCAATGATTTCATTTTTATGATTCTTTGTTTGCCCCCACTTTTCCACTTCCCGTCTATTCCCAGGGCAATTCCTTAGCGTATTGTGTGTTTTCTTTTTATGACTTTATAATGGGACTATTATGTATCTTTCCACATATGGGTGGTGCTGATTTGGAAAAGGCCATTTTGTTAAAAGCCCAAGATGTCCGACGGGCAATGACAAAAGCAGAAATACAATGTAATCTGGTAGAGTAAAAATAGAATTGACAACAATTGTATATAAATTTGAAAGATCAAAGATGTACAGAGGTTGTACAAGAAATTTAACACAATTTAACACAATAAAATGCATATTAAACATAAAATATTTAAAGAACACAAGTAATGTATTTCTTTATATATTTATTTATCTGAGTATATATATAAGCCAAATACAAAAGACCCCCGTCAAATCTGTGTACTGATAAACCTTATCTTCGAACCAATTTCCACAACCTAATTTGTGGGCCCACCGAAGGGAAAGTTGATCCATGTCGAATCAAATGTTCAATCGAGTCCAAGGCATTATGCAAAACGCATGACAGCTTAAGGAAACCCAGGAACAACAACTGAAACAGCCAACTGACAACTTCACTTATTCCAGCTGGGTTGTGACGTTCTGACCGCAGGCAGTTGGCAAATGAAGGCAAGCCCATGCAAAGGAAAGTCGGCAAGAAAAGCCAGTGAAAAGGCGTTGAATCGTTTCATTTCCTTCAACGTCTGTCGACACTCGGACCGAAAAAAGTGGGCTGGTCGAAAAAAGTAAACCGCAGGCAAATCAAAGGCAGAAGGAAACCTCATTAAATTAATGCAAGCCTCAGGAGTTTTTCTCCGCCCAAAAAACCCCCGCCTGCGACCTTGGCCAATTCATGGGAAAAGCTTGTTTGGCGGTTAGTGGAAAATTGTCCCAAAGATTTGAAACGCTTGATAGGCGTGGCCGAAATGATTGGCAGGACTCCTTAGGGACCAGAGTCAGCATAAGCCAGAGGCTTAGTTTTGATAATATGGGAAACCTGAAAACATTCGGTTAGCCTATATACATTGCTTGCAACGGAGAAATAGATTTTCATTTCAGATGGGTAGCCTTTCAACTTAATTTCTGATAATTTTGCAGGTTAATAGGCACATATACCAATCAAAAATAGTTAAATCGCTCCTATACATTTTCAAATATTTGTTAAACTTTATTATGAGTTATAAAAATTATTTAAATCATCCAGGAATAAATAAGAGTGAAAAGACTAACATCATTTTTTTTAAATTTATCAATATCAAAGATTTTGGTTGCCATCAAAATATCTTTCCTAGAAATTTACCAAAACGTTATGTTAAAAGTAAAACTTTATATTTAACAAAAAACATCCAAAGCCAGTTATTTAATATTTATGTTATTCACACACTTGTATTTTATGAAACCGGTACCCTTTACGTACAAAGTTAAAAGAAAGTCAGTGTGTAATCCGAAAAATGTTTTTGGAAACCACAACAAATGCGACAAGTCGAAGGGCAAAAACTCATATTAAAACTTTTAAAGCGCACATGTCCTCCGAACTGCATGTGTGTTCAGTGAACACTGTTCACACTCGCTAACATAAATTTGTCACCTAAAGAATGTGTATATATTAAGTTAAATTATATAACATAAAAAAACGAAGGTTTTCAGATATTGTTGTTAATTTTGTTATGAAAGGGTTCAAAGTATACTGTTTTCAAGAAACTCCATATGGTTTTTAAGTTTATCACTCGATACAAGTAGTGAGTTTATACCCCAGTAATCCTTTCCTAAGAATTGTTTCAACAATTTCACTTCAAACCAGAGTTGTGCTGTTGAGTGCCTTTTTATTCATATATATCATATGCCCGGCACAGATTTAGAGGGACTTTCATTTTTTGTCCCCGTTCATGTTTATTTTAGCCCGCAAATAAAAAGGATAAACAACAACTGGCAGCCATGTTCAACAGCATTTCCGCTTACAAGTCTCTTTTTTTCGGTTTGAGTTGACTCGTATGTGTGTAGCGGTGGGGTGTGGTCGTTATGAACCCTTTTGCAGCATTTGGCTACGGGATCCTGGTGCCAAAGCCAGTCAAAAGCTATCCACTCAATCCTTTGCATATTGCTCATATTTCTTCGGCATCGCTGCCTGTCTGGAGCTCTTGGCCATGTGTGTGTTCTTTTCCCTGGGTCGCTGCTTAGTCATGCTTATAAAACGCGAAAAACGCGACCAGCGATGAAGACGGGGGAATTTCCCAACTGTAAACAATAAATATAAACATGGGGCGCTGTGGGTGGAATCATAATATTCCCATCCCACCATCATCATCGTCATAATCCACATGCTGTCGTCAGTCAAGTTCAAATGGCTGGCAAATTTTTTTATAAACATTTACCATATACCAACAAATGGCTAATGCTGTAAGGGTTGGGGGCTAAGAGGTGGTTACAGCTTTAGAAAGTGGATACGATGTGATGGAAGGGGTTCTCGAGCAAACAAGGGTGCAGTTTTCCCTAATGAAAGATATCTTTTAAAATTGAAAACTTTTACCCACTGCAAATATTTTATTTTATTCAAGCTCATCGAAAAGTTCATCAAAATTCGATTATACTATCAATAATTCTAAGCTACTTGTCCGAATTGAATGCCATTTTGTTTTAAATAATGAAAAGTCAATTCAATCAAATGTTTTTCCCAACCAATGTCTTCAAATGTGTATTTTTTGAATAGATGTTGATAAAAAGCTTTGACAATAAGTGTCAACTGTGATGACACTTGTCAATTTTCTCAATCCAAGCCCTATTATCCGTCGACAGTTTCACTTTCGGTCTCAGCACATGAAAAAATTAGATACCCAGGACATAAATAAATTGTTGAAATATTTATTTATGGCCTGGACAAGTGTAAACAAAGCCAAAGGCAACTCGAGAAAGTCAGCAACTGGAGAAAGAGATGACAGGAAAGTAAGTGCATGGACGGATAGCGATTTGCTTACCTGAAACACCCACAGCTTGTGTCTGCATGAATCCAACTCGTAAATAAATACCAAAGACATAAATAAAATAAAAGGGAGTGGGCGGAAAACACTTCCAGAACCGACCCATTTCCACCTCGGCAAAGTGAAAGCGAGCGAAAAGTAAATATCAAATAAAACGCGTAGAAAACCAGGGAAATGCTACACATCTTTTGCATTTGAGTTAAGAGGCATGGAAGTAAGTTTCGGACTTAAGATTCAGACCACTTCTGTCTGCACATGTTCGAATCGAAGGGGGGTTGTCATAAAAATGGCGTTTCCGCCCTAAAAGAGGTAACTCCCCCACATCCTTCAATATCAACGCCACTCTCTTCGCCTTATTTGCAGTGCTTTCAAACGCAGAAAAATGGCTGCCATTTGTAAGAAAGTATAATAATGGCCTGGCTAAAAAAATATATGTGTAAGTGCGGCTTTAAAGTCCCTCTCGACTGAAGTTTTTTCTGCGTCTAACTTATGCGTTATGGTTGAAATAATATTAGAAAAGTGTTTAAATTCAACTCCTAGAGTAAAATGGTTTACTAGATTTAGTTATAACCGCTGTGATCTCGGAAACTATAGAAGCTACAAAGTTGGGATTAAGCATGCAGATTCTAGAGATTCCATGCACTCTTTAACGATAAAATGAAGTTAGAAAACCCAAGTTTTGAAATTTGTCGTATTCATTAAAAAGAACAGTTTCATAATTTCATTTCTAAAATCAAATTTTTAAATTAACCACAATTATTAAATTTAATATTAATATTTATTTAATAAAAATAAAACAGTTCTAATTGATTTAGTACTATTTTTATGATTGTAGATACAAATTTTAAACCTTTTAGATACCAATATGCGTTCGCATAGGGTTGTGGGATAAAATTGCCGTTAAAAGCCATCATTGTCTGGCACTAATTCGCGTTCTGTGTCCTTTCCTTGCAGTTGCAAATGCGAAAACAACAATGAGATGCTGGCACAATGCGGTGAGGCGCAAGAAGAAGAAGCTGGCAACGGCGGCGAGGGCGGGAAAAGGATCAGGTGGGGCGGGAGGCGTGGCAAGTCCTCCAAATGGAGATGGCATCTGCCAGAGGCAGCAACAAGTGGCCAGCGACACTTGGCTAACAACGCGGTCGGTCCCCCTTTTGTGGCTGCACTTGTTGCTGTTGGTCGCATTTGCAAAACATGCGGCAGCAGCAACAACTGCCACAAATCCCGAGGCCACCACAACAACATTAAACAACTATACGGCGACGACAACACTATCCGCATCCACATCCACGGCAACCACTTCATCGGCATCAGCAGCCGGGGATAAGTTCTCTGGCAACTGGGCCATCCTGGAGGATTCATTTAAGAACATCGTGCGGATCGGAGACGGCAACACGGTCACGCGGGTGAGTTTGAATGATGAATCCAATACTTTATTAGAAGTCGCATCATATTTTATTCTACACTGGTACCTAAAATTCTTTTAAAAGTGTAGAATATTCAATTTTTAAAGAAACAATAGGAAGACTATATAAATTAACTTTCGGTACATTTTTTTAAAAAAATCTAGCGAATGTTCGGTTTCTATGATATACATATGTATGAATTTAATGGCATAATATGGTTTAAGCTGCAAGGGTACATATATCAACTTTGGATTGCCGAAGGTAGCTTCCTTTTTTGTTTTTAGGGGTAACATTGGCATTTTGGCCCAAAAGCAAAAACATATTTATGATTTTTTTAAATAGTTCGAATCATATTTTACGTTTACGTAATTTGGTACATTTTAGGTACATGTTTGCTTAGCTACATAAACCATTTTACAGACCATTTTTGGAACACTCGAAAAAATAGTGCCCATCCGGTGGACATGATAATTGGTGACAGGATCATCAGAAAATGTTGAACTTTAACGAAGAAATTGGGAAAAAATGAAAGTTATATTTTTGGGGAAGATTTAACAAAAAAACATAAAAAATAATATTTTTGAGTTTTTTAATTTTAATAATTAGAAAAAATAAATATAATTAAGATTCTTCGATCAAGCAGTAGCTTTTGCGATACTGAATATGTGGCAAATATCAAGTCGTGGTTTCGAAAAAAACGCCATTGAAATAGACTGACGTAGCTAAGCAACATACAAAACATACAAAAACCTACAAAACATAAAAATAAAAAATTTATTTTTAAAATTTGACAAATTTTTAAAAGTTTTAGAAATGAAAAAATGTTGTCATTGAAACCATAGCAAAAGCATTTGAATTTTATTTTTACTTTTTATTGAATTTAATGTAATGATCTATAATTTAGTTTCATTACTTTTTTAATGTAATGTAATCTTTAAATCTATTCCTCAAACGGGCTGTGTAAATTGAATCAGCCTAACGTGTGTGAACTATAGTATAATTTTTATGTGTAAAAGATGTAGATTTTCAAAATTACTTTCCACCATTTACACACATAGAAAAGTGTATTCACAGATGGCAGGCACTCTGTGTTGCCTAGTGCTAACCCCATTTAAGCTGCAATTACACAGGAGTGCAATTGAAGTAATGAGGATAAGTGTTGCCGAAGAGCGGGGTGCTTTAAGCCAATCGCAGCTTTGAAGGTGCGTTCTGGGCCTCATGGCTCTTGGCTGAATTTAATTGAATTGCGATTGCAGACGCGAGGTCACTTGTAATTCTCCATTCCATTTCAAAACAAGGAAGAACGCTATAGTCGAGTACCTCGACTATCAGATACCCGTTACTCAGCTAAATAGAGATATGCAAGTAGCAAAGCGAGATTAAAATGCGCCACCTACCGGCGGTATACAGATTTAAGCGTTTTGGGCGTTAGAGTGGGCGTGGAAAATTTTTTTTGGACCAATCGATAGGTATTGACGAGACCAATACATTTCAGTTAAAATTTTTTATTCAGCATAAAAATTGTGGGCATCACAGGTTTTCGCGGTTTGTGGGCGTTAGAGTGGCATATTCGCGTGACAAACTTGCGCTGCGTATAAGGCTACGGAATCTAAATCTGAAATCCCAATTCTCTATCTTTGATAGTTTCCGAGATATCCACGTTCATAATTACGATTTTTTGAAGTTTGTGGGCGGTTTATGGGCGTTAGGGTGGGCGTGGCAAACTTTTTTTGGGTCAATCGATAGGTATTGATAAGAACATTACATTTCAGTTAAAATTTTTAGTCTAGCATCAAAACTGTAGGAGCCACAGTTTTGGGCGGATTGTGGGCGTTAGAGTGGGCGTGGCACTGTACTGAAACAAACTTGCGCTGCGTAAGAAGCTCAGGAATCTGCACGCCAAATCTCAATAGCCTAGCTCCCATAGTTTCCGAGATCTCAGCGTTCATCCGGACAGACAGACGGACAGACGGACAGACGGACAGACGGACATGGCTAGATCGACTCGGCTAGTGATCCTGATCAAGAATATATATACTTTATGGGGTCGGAAACGCTTCCTTCTGCCTGTTACATACTTTCCGACGAATCTAGTATACCCTTTTACTCTACGAGTAACGGGTATAATTATCAAAGTTGCTATTTAGTGGGCACTTAATAACTCTCAATAAGGAACGATAAGAGCTGTCAAATACAGTCCGCTGAGTAAAGTATCACAGGAATAGAATTACGAATTAAATTTAATAAAACTCGACTACTACATTATATAGCTGCCATTGGAAGGACAGGAATATTAATGTGATAATAACACAAAAACCATTAGCCGGAAAAACATATACGCTAATATATTGAAATGAAACATTATCTTAATATTTCTGTAATTATGTTTTAGCTATCTAAAAATCGAAAAGTTCTGTATATTCTGTAGACTGCCGAAGTTAGATTTCTTTCTTGTTTTATTTGTTAGCACATTGAAATATATTGATGAAATATAATAATTTATTTTCGGCAGTGAACATATATATCTTAAAATTAAAAGCACACCATAAATTTATAATTCCATATATTTTATAAACAAATCAACAGTTTTAATACCCATTAAAATTCCACAAAATATTTCTCTTGTTTTTCCTGCATTTTAGTTAAATGCCACACTTTCGTAAAACAGTTTCGCATATTTTGCTGTGGTTTATGTGCACATTATGAGCCCAGTTAATTAGGTTAAATGGTTAGGAGTTGAGCCGAACAAATTCTGGTGCAGATATTTTGAGTAGGAAAGTTCTTTGGGGAAAACTTTATTACTTCCGAATTTGCTCTTCATATCTTTTGACCAAAACTTTATTGTCGTGGCTTGTCAAACAAAAGACAAAACACTTGCTTAACAATACATGCTTCAACTTAAAATTCTGCCTAAACTTTTCAATGCAATTTCGTTCTCTGGTTTTTAACAAATAGATGTCAAAACAAAGAAAACTTTTTGGGTGCCTAGAACCTAAAGTTAAAGAATAAAAAGAAAAGCCAATAACGTAATTTTCCACTCAAACGATAAAAGGGTCTACAAAAATGACGATATAATGGCCCAACCATGAATTTTTGTTTGACCTAAAATGTATATTTAATGCGTTTGTCAGCGGCAGAGGCCCTGGAAAAAAACAAAGACTTGAATAGACCACAAAAAATGATTTGGGTAGCCGCAGTATATGATTATGCACTGGAAAAACAACGTTTAGGCTTTTGCTTTTGACAGCTTCATGTCTTTTATTAAGCGACTACAGTCCACACAAATTTTATATTGGTTTTCGTTCACAATTTATATAATTAAATTGTTTTTTTTGACCGTGCATTCTTAGGCTCTTCCCACTCCATTTTAAACCTGCTCAGAAAATAATAATAATGGCCGATTCCCAAACCATTAACAGGCGGCCATCGAACAATCACTGGTAACGATACACGACATCGCCACGGAGAATTTGGGGACATTGTGCATCTCGACCCTGTACCGACCCCTACAAGTGCCCATCAACTCGGAACGATATGAGAGCTCCAGACAGAAAGCCGATTTGGCCGCCTCGATACTCCAGGAAGTTGGCATCATTCGGCACGGCGGTGAGTTTGAACAGAATATAATTCCACCTACCTAACTGCCAGAGTATACCCATATTTTTTATCCCTCCATCGATTATTGATTTTGTTTTTGCTTGCGTGTGGGCGGTGTTTGGACTGTTATCGCAGCCGAATGACATTTTCCTGCTGGGAAAATTCATATAGGAAAGTCAATACGTGAGTCTCACATGCGGAACCGATTAAAATATAGTATGTGTGCGTGGGCTTAACCGTTTCGACATGGTTTCAGTTCCACAACTTTTTTAAATGGCCGCCATTTAAAGTAACTTTTTTGGCAACTGTGGGAATTCCTCACTCAAGCTGTCTATGGGATTTTTATATTGCTTGCTGAATGTGCTGAAGTTTTTTGTGGCACACTTTGTGTGGATAAGTTCTTTATCCGATGGTAAATTTCATTAAATATTGTAAGAATGAAAGAAAGGGTAATTGGTTACAACAGAAAGCAGATTTAATATTATTAAAGTTCCTTGGGAAGGGGAAGAATGGAAAAAAGGTTTCGCCTTGAACGCGGAATTTTCATGCAAATTAATTAAAAGGAAAAATGTACAAGTCTTTCCTTCAATAAATATTTAAATTTTAAATATATCATGACTTATTTCACTAAAAAACGATTCATTTTAAGTGAAACCTTTACAAAAAGACTCAGAATTGCAGGAATTTAAATTGTATACATTTTTTTGGTGCTCCCCATTCTAACACAATCCTTATATCCCTTAAGTGGAAATCTGATTCCCTTTTGCTGTGTAAAGATTTCGTTTAGCCCTGGAACCTTGTAAAATGCTGTGTATATTTGTACTTATTGCCATACATGTCCTTGCTTAATTTCACGAAATCTGTTCCTTTTGGACCCTTCTTTCTCCACCGCCCCCCATTTGATCTCGTCGACGATGTTCCAGTAAAAGCTTCGTGGGTAAATCACAGTTGAGAACAAGAACGAATGCGACGGATGACACAACGCACAATGTGAACTTTAACTTAAATCTACAGCAACAACCGTAACATTGGGACTAACAACGGCAAAGGACACTGCATGTGAACTGAGTGGGTGGTGGTACGATATAGAGGGTAGAGGGTATAAAAAGGACGAAACGTCGGCATTGCGTGATGCGCCACAAGTGCGTCGTTGGTTGTCAACCCCAATGCTGTCGCACGGCTGTCAGGACAAGACTTTCATTCTGATCCCAGTTGCCAGTCACCCGACAGCAGCCTTGACAATGCCCAACAAAGTGATGAACTGAGAGAAATTATAAATATAAATCTGAGTTTAAAACGTGTATGCTTCTTATTTAGGTGTATATTATAGAAGGATATTGAAGAAACTAGCCCAGATTTAGTTTCCTTATTTTCGAACGCAGCGCTAGTTTGTTAAGCGAACATGCCACGCCCACTCGGACGCCCACAAACCGTCCAAAACTTTGGCAGCTACACTTTAAAAGCTAGAAAAAAATGTTAACTGAAATGTGTTGTTTTCGTCAATACCTGTCGATTGACCTAAAAAAAAGTTTGACAAGCCCACTCTGAATCGGCGTCCGCAGTGTTCATGCTAGAAAAAATTTGTTAACTATATTGTATTGGTATCGTCAATACCTATCGATTGATCTAAAAAAAATTTGCCACACCCACTTTACCATACCGCCCACATAACCATATATTGTAGTCCCGATTAGGTGGCGCCTTACAATCTCTCTTTGCTGCTTGTATACCTCAATCTCCCTTTTGATGCTTGGCTACAGCGATCTTCCTTGTTTTAGTTTTACAAACTAAAAATATTGAACTGATAAACAAGAACAAAGCAAGCATAGCTAGGCTTATACTATTTCAAACATAACAAATAAAATTAAGTTCGTCTAAATTGTAAAATGAAATATTGAAATATCAATACGCAATCGAGTAATATTAACACGGTCATTATCTTCATACCTGTACCTACACATAATTTGCCATTTAAAAAATATTTTTAGAATATAAATTGAGCTCTAGATACCAAAAAAAATTATAAGATCTGTTACTGTATAGCCGTTTTCAGATCAAGTAACATTTTTCATTTTTGTCAATATTTCTAGAATTGTCGAAACATATTGCAATCATGCATACAGCAATATCAATAGATGTCGAAAGTGAAGAGACCACAAAATGCAATCGCAGTTTAGGACTGACAATCATTATTATTCTTAGTTGGTTCTTCATAACCTTTAATATGTATTGGGACCGGATTAAGGATGATAGCTTTGAATATAATAGCATATTAAGCGACAGAGACTCTGTATTATTTGTTAATACGACAGGTTGTCGCATACAAGGGACGAAATCTTTTTCGGACACAGCTATTTCTTTCATAAAGCCGTTCAAACCAGTTGTCTGCCCAAGGATACCGCTTTTTAAAGCCGAGACTATTGGAGGTAGGAATTATTTAATCCTAAACATCTCAGAATCTGAACTTTTTTCATTTTCTCGTGTGAAGCGTTGGAGACATGTTTCCTGTGTGTATCGGGAATTCATTAGAGTTCACGACTTCCTAAACAAGTACGTCTCCTTGCAGTTATTCATGCTAAAAGACCAGTTAAGCTACCTTGTGGGAGCTGGACAGCAAAACATTCGCATCTGGTGTTGGGTTGACTTTGCCAGGATAATATTTAGTGACGTTCTGTTTTTCCTACCCCCTCCTGCAATGCAGTCGAACACATCGACATCTAACGAACGCCTTTCAGTCATGATTCTGGGCCTTGATTCAATATCCCACATGCACTATCAACGACACTTTCACAAAGTGTCACACTTTATGGAACATTTACCCCATACCGAGTTTTGGGGCTACAATCGTGTCGGTCGTAATTCGTACCCCAATCTGATCCCTTTGCTAAGCGGTCAACACTTCTCAGAACTTGAAAAATCTTGCTATGCAGGAAAGCCAAGTTTCGACAAATGTCACTTCCTATGGGATGATTTCAAAGCGGCTGGTTACTCAACTGTATTTAGTGAGGATAACGAAAGCATTGGCACTTTCACACACACAAAAAAGGGTTTTTGTAAGCAGCCTACCGATTACTATTTGCGTCCAGTAATGGTCGAGATCGATTTATTCACAACTTATAATACCGATCATAGCCTTGAGTGCTCCGGCCATCGACTCTATCAGGTTATATACTATGACTTTATATATAAGATAATGGCGCATTTGCAACGAAGTCCTTTCTTCTCATTTCTTTGGCACACCCAGGGCATCCACGATCATTTCAATTATGCCAAGCTGGTAGACGAAGACTACTTAAGAATTATGCAGCACTTGAAAGTGCTGGGTATTATGAATCACACATTTATTCTTGTATTGGCCGATCATGGATTCAGAATGGAGGGATTTCCGAATACTGAGCAAGGCCAAAAAGAGATTTCGCAACCTCTTCTTATTGCCATATATCCGGAATGGCTTCCAAAGAGCTTCCCTCTTGCTATTTACAATCTGGAGAAAAACGCTCGGAGTCTGATCACGACATATGATTTGTACGAAACCCTGAAGGATTTAATTAATCTTAATGACCTAACCGACATAAACGTGATAAAACGATCGCAAAATTTGTCCAACAGTCGTGGAATTAGCCTTTTTCTACCGATTCCAGAGAGCAGAGATTGTCGCAGCGCTGCAATATCGCATCATTACTGCCTCTGTGAGGAACTATTCCCGATTTCCACCTATGAAAGTGCTGTTCAAGAGGCTGCTCAATTTGTAGTTGCCAAGATTAACGAGCTCATCAAGCCGTATCCCCAGTGTCAACAACTGGAGCTCAAAAAAGTTCGCGCTGCGTTTGGCTCAAACGGCGAAGCTGGACGAAAAACAGAGATGTCGCAGATTATGGTCCGCTTGGAGACGACCCCTGGGGACGGCCACTTTGACGCCACCATTCTGAGGACGTCACTTAAACTGGCTGGTGAGAGGTCTCTGATATTGGGTGGTCCCGTGACGAGGACCGACAAATATGGGCACCAGTCCTTCTGCATACAAAATCACCAAATCGAAATGTATTGCTGTTGCGTATAATAAACTGGAGGCAAAGAATTGTATAAAATTGGAGTAGAGCTAAATGGCCCAAAACATAAAAACTGGAGCTGCTTTTTAAACCCATTACTCGTAGAGTAAAAGGATAAATTAGATTTGTCGTAAAGTATGTAACCTATAAAGAATTTATTCTAGATCAGGATCACTAGCCGAGTCGATCTAGCCATGTCCGTCTGTTCGTAGAACTCTTAGATATCGAAAACTAAAAGAACGTCATATTAATTTATTTAAAGCACTCAAGACACCAGCTTGATGTCATTTTAGGTGTCTAAATGACGCTTACACTATTAGACACCATATATATCATATTCACTATTCTGTACATTTAAAAATATACCAAAATATCTCCCAAATGTGTTAAAAGAACTATAGTCAATATGAAAGATTGTTCAGATATCCATTACCAACGATCGAAGTCATGTCCAACTGGATCTGGCTAAAAAGTACTTGCAATTTTAACCGGACTAAAAACATACAAATTCTTCTTACAGTGTAGAAATCATCCAATAAAATGCTATCAGTGTGTCATGCATAGTCAAGGACGAGCCGGAGCACAAAACGCACAATGAACTCATCGCTGGGACTCTGGTTCTCGGGTTGTCCTCGGATCGGATCGGGATAATAAGGGGGGCTGGAAGTGTTGGAGCGCACAAGTTGCCATTATGGCCATGATTTCCACACCGTCTTGAAACAGACCACCTCTCTCGGTTGGCAGACAGCTATATCTGGGTTTTTTTCTTGGCGTCACTCGCTATGTTCGTGCTCACAAAGGTGAGAGGTGTCAGCGAAAATCGCATAAAGGGAAGGCAAATTGGAGCCTTTTGTTGCTGCTGCTGTTGTTATTGTTCCATCATCCTGTTGAGCGCAGGACAGCAACAGGAGGCTGCCATTTGTATACATTTTTGGCACTTGCCTCTATCTTACCCTCGGTTGCCTGTTTGACTCTTGAAATTTTGATGCGGTGCATAAATTATTCGTATAAAGTGCCCTCGCAAATCGAATAAATTAAAGCCAATTTAAAAGGGGCAAGAGCGACAGCCACTTAAAAGGATAACACTTGCTGAGCAGCGTCCAGCTGCACACTGTGAGAAGCGAAGAGAGAGGCTGGGTGCAAAGCCAATTGCCTGCTTTTGGGCTTAAATGAAAAAGGTTGCGTCAAGGGCATGGAAATAACCTTTTAATTTAAGGGGCCGATAAAACTATTAAGTTTGACTTCCGTTAGGTCCTAAAAATCTTTTTTCTGTCAATGGAAAATAGGTACACCAAAAAAATAGTCATCAAAAAGAAACTATTGTTACATAAATTTTACACTATTGAGTATCGATTTGGCGTCGATGGAATGAGTATTCAATTAATACTTTCCAAAGTATTAACTTTAACTACCTTTCTATATTAAAAAGTTTTGAATTTCAATTTGAGGTATTATTTTTAAACCAATTACATACAATCAAAGTTTTCATTTAATACTTTGGAAAGTATTAATTGAATACTCAGTCTGAATTGAAAGAATAGTCTTTATATTATTTAGTGTTGATTCTATACCTTAAATTCATTACTATCTTTGGTATACTCTTAACACAACCGGTATGTAATCGTAACTATCTGTTTTTTTTGGGTGTGGTTCTACTATACTACCTAGACTAATGCTATAAACTTATAAAGAGAACATCGTACAATGCATTTATTAACTATTTAAGCCGAACATCTGCAATTTATATAAAGCTTTCGGAATATCCCTTTAAGTTTGTTAGCCGACAACCAAACAAACGTTCTTCCACATATTATTCCCAAAAACCGAGCAAATTGCCCCCAGAAGTCCGTTTTCAGGCAAACCGAATCTCGGGTAAATTTAATTATTCCTGAAACACCTGGCATCTGAAAAGCCCCCACGTGAGACTGCAAAAACATGTCTGACTGCAGTTTGAATAATTGCCAATTTTACACACTCTGAAACTTTTGTTTTGTCCGACAGCCAAGAAAATGAAAAACACAAAATGTTACAATTGTTGTTACATTTTCAGCAACACCTTTCCAGCGAGTAAAACAAAAACATGCCCAGGAGGCAATAAATTATACAACTATCCAAAAAAAATGGCAAAATAGATTGATGACGGTATACGGACGAGTGCGGAACAAAATGGCAGAGCGGATGATGAATGAGCCCGTGACCCATAAGCACATCATTCCCGTTATTCGTTCTGTCGCAGTGTGTTACCTTCGCAGGTGAAAACCGGCTGTCAGCCATTGCGAAATGTTGTTTACCATAAGCGTTCTGTCTCGGCCACATTGCTCAGAGTTGTAGTGAGGATAAGGATAAGAAGTAAACACATATGTCTACACAGTGACAACGATTATTAATTGAATAACTAGGGGGTGTAGGGTGTAGTGAGGAACGATTCGTTTTTTGATTGTCACTTTTCCGAAAATTAATATTTTTGAAACGTTTAAGAGCAGAAAGTTACTGACATCTATTGAGCATATTCCAGTTCGATGGTAAAATTCAGCACTTGGCGTAATCCTAAATTTTTTTTCACTTTTACAAGTTGTAGGGTAAGGTGACGAACTGATAAATACACACTAAAACTCCATGCAAATGTAAAAAGTATTTACTTTTTCTTTAAGAAAAGGTTAAAATGTTTATAATGGAGAACAAATTTAATTCTGGGTTTAAATTGATAAAATGAAGTTGATCAATTTCTAGTTCAGAAAAATTCACGATAAATAATTTATTATTTAGTTATCGACTGAACAGAACAGAAACAAAACCCGATATAGTGCGAAAAAATATCAAAAAAAGTTAAATCTCATACCCTACAAAATTTTGTCACCATACCCTATTAGGAACTGTTGGAAATATAATTGTGTCACCATTGCTACAGATCTTATTAATACTTGTATATGTATTTGTCTGACTTGGTTTTTCACCAATCTTTACTCTGGCATTGTTGAAACACTAAATTGAATGGGTTTTTTAATTTTTGCTCCACCTTTTAGTTCAAAATTATCTTACGAACCACTTACGCGAACACTTAATAATACTATTGTAAATACATTGTTGGCACGATAAAGGAAATCTACTACAATTATTTGGAATTTTTGTCGTGTCGTCACTTCTGAGATTTGTCGAGTTCGTAACCTTACCCTACACTCCTCCTTAAAGTATTTTCAACAATGTTGTAAACCAGCGATACTGTTTTGAGAATAAAACCAAAAAAGCGGGAACAAATAGATCAAAAAGTTTTTTTATATACTTCAACTGTTTTTTAAAATCATTTATCACATTTAAAGTCTATTTTAAAGTTTTACTGTTACACTCTAAATTGATTGTTTTGTATCAAGTGCGATATCAAAGACTTTGAGTACTGGATAAATTATGCTAGTAAATTTTTTTAATCGGATGGGGAAAGTAAGCATAAGCATTTCACCCGCGTATGTACGTATACTGCCATATCGCAGATCCTTTGTTTCAATTTTACTCCAACCCCACGGAATCAAAAAAGTTTGCCAACTAAAAAAATGCACGTACACGGTTTGCGTTACTTTCTCCCGGATAAAGAAGAGAAAAACTTTCCGAGATGTTGCGCGTACCTTCTATAGTAGCAGCAACAAAAACAAACAGGAAAGGGAAAATAAGCAAACCCTATACATACTAAAACATAAAAATAAAGAAAGTACCACGGAAGTTGCGGTAATCGAATTTAAATAAGTTTACTTTGTAAACAATTCTCGTTTCGCTTTCGCTTCCTCTCCCCTTTTTTCCTTACTGAAAGTCAAACATCAGGGATTCCATTTCAGCTTTTTTCCCTGATAAGATAGCTTTACTTTCCCCAAACCTAAAATTTGTATCTTAAAATTGTTAAATATTTAACAAATTTTTAATTGGTATTAACTCAATTAAAGTATGGATAGGTATAATTAATTGTATACTTTTATACTGAAAGAAAATGAAGTATTTTTTGTCGTTTCGTTTTTTGTTATTTTGATAGTATCGATGTTAATTTGAGGAATATTGGACTAAACGGGACAAGTAATGGGAACAAATATGTGTCAAATGTTATTTAAGGGATAAATGGATTTAGTGCATACACAGAAAATTCTGACGATCTCATCTGAGTTGAAAATGTTCTTAAAAATAGAACGACATTTTTAAGTTGAAAATGTTTTTATTTTCCTCGAATCAAGTTGAATTGGCGGTATTTAGGTACATTTTATATACAAATAAACTATTAGTTCAGTCCTTAGTGTATACTTATCAAAAAGATGTTAAACAAACTCAATTGAACTTTTCTCTTCTAACCATTTAGTTCTTATATTGATACCAAAATGTACTTACACGGTTTTTAAGAACTTATGTTCTCGATTCAAGAACAATGTTCTCAGTTCAAGAACAATGTTCTTGATAGTTTTCTCTGTGTATGGACTTTTCGTTCACTTTTTCCCTTAAATCTACGGGAGGTACATTTTTGAGGCCATTGTTAATCCTGTTTAGTCTATTATTCTAAGAATTATCAAATAGAAATATAAATATCAAACTACTCAAATATTATGAAAAATTACGAATAATGCCATGTATGGGAAATCAATTCAGATGTTTAGCTACTTTTAACGTACCGTACTTTTAACGTATCCGAAATCCTGTCAGCACTGAAAGCGAAGGGCGGGCGAGTGTTGCAAAAATATTAGCTTTTGACAGTCACCGCCCACACACTCCCACCCTCGCAGGGGTTAGAGCGAGAGGGGAGGTCGAGGAAGAGAGAAGGCCTCTGATGTCCTGCCGCGCATATTAATCATTGTTGTTGGGCTGACACTTTTGCCAAGGCCGAAAGAACAACTGCAACAACAGCTGCGGCTTTTAATGACTGTTTCAAGGCCGCAATAACAATAACAGATGTTTCGAGTTAAGCGCTTTAAGTTTCCAGAAAGTGCAATGCAGTGGGATAACAATGGAAAAGCCTTCCTAACGTGATTAACACGTTTAATTGCACATGCATAATTCATGTGCACGCACACAAATGAAATTGTCCGCATTTCAGAATTTATTTAATTAAAAGTTCGTTTTTAATTAACAAATCAAAGGCAATTGTTGAGGGGAATATTTATTATATATTCTGAAAAATATGGGCATTACAGGAAGTAAATTTAAAATAATTACATTTAATGAATTTTATTAAAAAACTGTAACTGAAATAATACTCCATATTTCAATATTATTTAAAGACTTTAGTACAGCATGTTTGCTTTTTATCGATTTTAAGAGCTACACCTGAGTAGCACTCTGTGGCAATAACCGCTCGACAAGGATTGAGCATAATAATGTTGGAAATTACAAAAATATTTTTGTAAATCACTGAGAATGCAATCAAACGAAACACGCCGTTGGCTGGGAAATCAACAATGGAAATGCATTTCCCATTGGGAAATCGAAATGGCGGCAGGCCGAAAATGAGAGCCACAACCTTCGCGCCATAAATAATTAAAGTTGGGAAATTTGTGCACTGTAATCAGCAATTACGAGCAGTGAAGTGACACGTCCAATTCGTTTTCGTGCGAAATACAGTTTTTAATTACTTTGTGCGTACTTTCATTTAATTTCCGCCACCAATTATTGAAACACATTTTGCCCATGCGACCCAGAATGCTAATGCACTGCTCTTTTCATTTGAAGGATTGTCGGATGCCCTGGCCAAGGGACTGCTCACCGATGACTTTGTAACCGGGGCCCGCATTTTGGCCCTGAATCTGACGAATGGAGCGGTGCAGTCGTACGTGTGGTGGGTCAAGGGGGCCCAGTCGGAAACGCAGCGTTACGACGAGGATGGGCTGCAGATTGGCAAGAAGCCCGCAGGCAGCTATCCCTGGTACGTGCCAAAAATCAGTGTTGCCGGAATGTTATATTGGAGTTACAAAGTGAAATTCTATTTGAAAAATGTAAATTATACATTTTATGTGAGTTTTTGATTAGTACAAAAATATTTTTATATTCAAAGTATATCCTAAACATTAAATACTGTAGTATTTTAAAATCTTTATGCATACTTTTTAGGCACCAGGCTAATATACTAAGTAAATGTCAATATTGTACTTATGTTCGAAAGTTGGGAACATACAATAACGACTGGTTTCATTCTTCCTAAGCGTCCGTGATGCATTTCTTTTATTAAATATTTCTTACAAAATGTTTTTTCCCTTAGAACATGAAACTATAGAATCATAGAAAATCCATTTACAGATTCCCTTTATTTGTCTTAAAAAAACAATTTATAGTTAAATAATTTATTATAATTAGCTCTTAGGTTGAGGCTCATCTTGGAACACACGTTATAATTTGAAAGCCCAATAAGCGTAATCGCACTTTTTATAAAGCCATGCCAATCTTTGGTCGGATAGGATTTTTCTCAACGTTGTAGTTATATTTTCTTTAAATTTATTACTGAATTTAGTATAAAAGTATTTTGCCAAATCAAGGTTAGCCATCGGACTAGAGTTCATGATAAGATGTATGTTAAATAATATTTCCCCAAACTTAGGTCGGATAGGATTTTTTTCTTAACGTTATAGTTATATTTTCTTTAAATTTATTACTGAATTTAGTAGAAAAGTATTTTGCCAAATCAAGGTTAACCATCGGACTAGAGTTCATGATAAGATGTATGTTAAATTATATTTCGCAAAACTTCGCTTAGAATTGTGACAGCACTATATCGACCCCGCTTGAATTCATTTAAAATACCCTCCACAGGTTCGACGACGAGACCTCGACACCCACGCTGCGTTCCCCGAAATTCGCGCCCAGTCCGCCCAACAACTATTACAAGGGCTGGTGGACCTTCCCCTACTTCTCATGCTCCCTCAGCCGCTGGCTGGTGTCCTACAGCATCGCAATCCCGCCGATTGGGCGCCACGGGCTAAGGGGTTTCATCAGCATCGACATCGACGTGTCCACGCTGCGGGTCAACCAGTGCGAGGCGGAGCCCTATCAATTCGGGAGTCGCCGCCAGAAAATGCAGCAGCTGCAGCAACAACATCGCCTCACGGCACGGAGATCCCCGTTTTTGGGTGGCAGGATGGGGCTCATTGATGAGGGCACCATCAACGATCTGCAGGCGTTCCACAGCTCCCACAAGTGTCATCGCACCTCCATGGTGGTGAGTACATAGAAGCTCCATAAAGGGTCCAAGTAAATATGCAAAAGATACTTTTTATTTAGTGCATAAATATTTATTTATTATTTATTTATTTAAGATGATAGTAAAGTTTACAAAACTAATACTAACATAGGGAATGTAGTGCTAGCTACGAGGCCTTCGACTACGAATTTATTTATTTTTTTTTTTAACATTTAGGTTAACATATATTTTTAATTTGAGGGATGTGAGGAGTTTTTATATGCTATGCTATAACTTTATTTCTTTTAAATATGTTATTATTGTTTTGATGTTTTCTATTGATGGGTTTCTAAGGTACTGTATGGCGTTAATGTTATTGAGGATATTAAGTTTTGTTTGGGCTATGGCGGGGCATGAATTAAGGATGTGATCCATATTAATTGCATAAATATAAGTGGTTATACCTTAAATAGTATTTTATAATTTCATCATGGGTACTCAGATATAAATATATTTTTATAAGAACAAAATTGTAATATATTTTATTGGTTCAAAGTTACAAATACGAAGCTGGCCTAAGTCCCAGTTACCCTTGCCTTTAGTTTTGTCTAGTTTATTCACTCAGATTCAGTAAAGAACGCAGCACACAATTTGTAATTCAAGGTAAATATTTGTTGTACAGTTTTTGATAAATTGCAGAGCGAAGACTCAGTTAGTTTCGCCTTGTCGTTGCACTTTCTAACAGAAATATAAAATTCAGCCAACAAATATACAAACAGAAGACCAAGTGAATTAATCAGAAGAATGAATAATGAAAAGGGTGAACTCTCTGATGTAAAAACGCAGAAGAATCCGACCAAACAGCTCCGTAAACCCGTAAAACGGCTCAATGCTGAAGCTCGCGGGGTGGTGACCCCTGAAAATTCACCCACAAAACTAGGTAACCCATCGACTGCCCCGGCTGTGGTAAGTCGCCGCACCCTTAGCCGTCAAAGTAGTATGGCATACAAGAATTTCTTAGGAAAATTCAGGAGATCCAACCCCGGAAGACTAACCGCTGAGGCCTCCTCCATTTGGCGCAAAATGAGCGTTCAGGAAAAGGAAAAATTTCGAGCGGACAGCACTGGTCGACATAAAAGGAGTCAAGGGACTTCTACTTCTCTAGATAATCCGGTTGCTGAGGAAGTGCCACCTTTAGAAATAGTTAATGATATTGAGTCAGAGAGGCAAATTCATAACGACGAACTTCAAGAAACAACAGTTAGCAATAGACGCTCGTGGCTGAGTTTTAATTGCGTTTTTAAGGCTCTAAGTAAGACAAGAAATTTATTTTCTTAAATATTAGTTTTCCAAATTGTTAATGTTCAATGTAAAAAAGTAATAAAAATAAATTATATTTGTGTTAAAACATCTTTAAATTCCAATCAGTTGGCTATGAAATAAAAGTAAAAGAGAGCAACAACACTTATAACATCAAATTTTGATTGAGACATATACTCGCTAGTAACGACTATGGAATAATCTCCATAATCTGCTTTTTTAAACAATTTTTATTTATTTCAGTAACTATGCGCGTATACGCGGGGGCGGGTATAGGGGATATATCCCTCGGGTTAAATATGTAATATAGATTTTGTTTCAATTTTGTTTTATTTCTACGCTAAAAATTTTTTTAAAACCCACTACATTACATTTTATAGCTAAAGCCCGATACTTACCACAATCAAAAAGGCAACGAAATTAAAATTTTCAAATAAGAATGATAGACGGATTATTTCATAAATATAAATATATAAATATTTTTATTTCGTTGCTTCTTTGGTTCACGAGAGTATCAACCTTAATGTAAGGTTTTTGGAAGGGAAAACGACTTAGGTATATAGAATATTGATCCATAAACAGTCTATATATTCTAAAACATTACGTTTAAGTTCGCCGATGCTAAGGAGCTCACCTAAGATAATTTTTATTTTTCTGAGTGCATGTTGCAACTGCAATTGATTTGCAACTATTTAAGCCAAGTGCTTTTGCTTTCCCCCTGGCAGTGTGACTACCGCCAGCCGAGTGCGGAGACCCCGACAATAAGCGGCGGAAAACTGCTGACCACGCTGACCGGGAGCAGCAGCTGGGCCCGGGGATCCTACCAGTGCCTGTGCCGGGCGGGATTCTACTCGCTGCGGCATCCGGACGGATTCAACGGCACCATCATGGAGATTGCCTGGCAGGAGCAGCAGGACAATATAAGCAATTACTACACGGAGGTCTTCAAGTGTTTGCCCTGCGCCCCTGGCTGTGACACGTGCACGGGTCCGGAGCCATGTCTGGCCAACTACCACTGGCCATTCAGGTTGGTATCCGTATCCGTGATTGTTTGCCAGTGATGGGAGAGGTGATACCACCCTTACAAGGTTTATGGCAAGGAAAAGTAGCCAACAGTGCTAGAGAGGGTGCAGTTGGTTTTTTTAAAGAGGTTTTTATAATAATATTTTCCAAATTCCATCTGGCAGTTTTTTATCCATACAGAATTTATAAGGGAAGATACTTACCCATACTTACCCATAACCAAGTCCTAGCAACGAAGTCAATAGAATGAACTATACTGGAACTTTTAAGAAACAGTGCCATATACATATGAGATTTTATTTAAAGAGATCTTACAGCTTTAACCGCCTAAAGAGGCTACTTATTTTACAAATAATTGCATTTAGCAAATTTTACTTTTAAACACTTTACAGCTTAGATTAGTTTTAATTTAGCTTGCAGTAAAGCATTAGACAATATTCAAACACAATTTATGAATTCATCAGGTATTTCAAACCACACAAAAGACATTTCTGCAATCCAGCATCCCAAACAAAAAAAAGGGGAGGGAGGACACAACCACTTTCCACCACTGGTACTTGTTTAGTAACATAAAAGCTAAGCATCTTTCCTGTATTTTAGAATATCCCTGTTGACCATATCGATTGGCTGTGCCTGTGGCACCTTTGTACTCGCCGGCTATCTCTTCCGGCATCGTCGCGTCAAGGTCTTCAAGGTGGCCAGCCCCATCTTCCTGATGATCACGCTCATCGGCTGCGCCATCATGTATCTGGAGGTAAGTAGTACTTGGGTCATTTGGGGCGACACTCTTAACCCATTAAAGCGGCTGAAAGCCAAAAACACACAAAGGCCATTTGAAAACAATGTTGATAATGCGACAAAAGGCCCTAGCGTGGTCGGCACGGGCTCATTCATAATTAACCCACATGTGAGCCCGTTTTGGTTCTTATCCCACTCCCATTTCTGGATGTAAAGGGATCTGCGAACAAACCACAACATAAAAGCACCACTTATGGGTTTTTAAATGCGGCTTTTAAGCACTTACTTGTCGAAAGGGTATGGAGGTTTAGGTACTCCATTTGTAACAAAATATGTTTTCTTACTTTTTTATAAGCCTGCTCGAGCTTTCAATTAAGAATAAAAATAGTTAAAACCATCGTAAAAGAATATATATATTTTTTTATACCTAAATCAATAAACAATAATAAAAAACCATTTTGCATTTCTAAAAAAAAACGTTCTAATTTCTCCATTTTTTTTTAAAAATATTTCTAATAACATTTAAATTTTAGAAACAATTTTGTTTAAATTGTTGATTTTTGTTTTGTTTGTTTTTAAGAATCTATAATTAATGGGTCTTATCAATAGTATCAAATGTATGGTGTAAATTAAATTAAAGTTATATTAAAAAAACGAATTTCAATGAAAAAGGGTACGACCTCAAAAGGGTGTTGCATGTTCACCTATTTCGCCTTTCTCTGGTTGGCAATTATGCTGTCAGCATTAGCCAACAATGGTATAATACCCAGTGGACACATAAAACCACCGCCCTTCCTAAAAGAACGCACACACAATAACAGTACAACATAAAAGAGGGAACTAAAAGAGTACAATTGTACTCGATTTTCTAATCAAACAAATAAAAATTCTAAAAAACCATTTTATGTTGATAGAAAATAATTATGAGCAAGAAATCATTGAAGAATCCAGTTGCAAACTCAAAAGATGAAAATTCGCAGGATGAAGATGAGAAGGAGTTGCAGACGGCGATTAAGGAAATGGTCAAGACTCCCGATATAGAAGAAAAACCGGGGACAAGCAGTCAACGTTCCGACGTACATGACACTTCTCGAGATCGGGATGAACACAAACTATTTCCGAAGGTAAAGAAAAAAAATCAAGTGGAACAAGGATCGCAAACAGGTGAAACCTGTGAGAAACCTAAGACATCGAAAGCTAAGCACAAAAAATTGGAGAGCGAAGACAGTTGGTCTACCCTTCTTATACAAAGGTTTACCTTGACAAAAAGCGCTAAAACTACTGGGGTAGTGCCGCCCGAAAATAGCCAAACTAAAACGGATACAAGAGACGAGGCACAACCTTTTAACAAAGAGCCATTAAAAGATGTCAAGGAAAAGACCTCAGAGACCTCAAACGAAATTCTAATACGAACAGATCATTACGAAAATCAGTTAAATATTGATAGATCGGAAGAAGAATCTTCGGAGTTTCTTGAGAAATTGCAAAAAATAGAGGAGGCCTCGAAACCCAAAACTTGGAGGAGACCAACACCGATTGTAATAAAACCCAAAGAGGTGTCTCCTCCAACAAAAAAGAAAGACGATCAAGTAGATGCAAAACTACACACTAATACTGAAAAGCATAGGTATATTAATATTTTGAAGGTTCCATTACATCGTAATTTAAATTATGCTACACAAGATGAATCGAAGCCGACGACCAATCAGCTACCTGGAGAGAAAGATACTTCGGCATCCGACCCTCAGACAGAATCTCCAGAAAAAGTACCAGCAAATTCAGAGGAAACTTCAGACCAAAAACCTGGAGAAATACTAGGAGAAAATCAAGAGGAAAAGACTGCAAAAATTTCTCCTGTCACAAATAGTGGAAATTCAGATTCGCGAAGAACGCTGACAATAACGGGTCACTCGCACATAACCACAAAATTGGACAAACACTGTCATTTTAAGGAGCGGGACACTGGAGTGGATAAGGACGCCAGACGAAAATTAATAATCGCTTGCATTCTGTGCTCGGTGTTTATGATTATCGAGGTTGTTGGTGGCGTTATTTCCAACAGTCTGGCCATTGCCACAGATGCCGCCCATCTGCTAACGGACCTGTCCTCATTCCTCATCTCACTCTTTGCATTACATCTGGCTGGAAGACCCGCGTCTGAAAGACTTAACTTCGGATGGTATCGGGCAGAGGTCATCGGGGCCATGATATCCATATTCTTTATCTGGGTAATAACAGGTGAACGGTAAATATTCGCCCTTGGGAGACAACGTACTCCCAACTTTTTACCTAAGTAAGGTCTTTTGTAGAATCCAATATTAGGCCAAAAATATTTAGGAGCGTTTTCTCGTCCTTATGTTAAACTAAAATCAGGTTTTATACTCAAAATTTTTATAGGTTTTTTTATGTTAGAGCTTTCTTTTTTTTATTTACCACGAGGATTGAAAAAAAAACCTTAAAATGGTTTGATCAATTTGCCTTGAAACGATTTTATTCATATTTTTATTAAATTCATAATTTAAAAATTGTACTTTCATCTACCAAATACTAATTCCGAATAGGAATATATCTTAAAATATAATTTTAAACAGTTTATTTTTTTTTAGCTACCTACTACCACTTTTCAAAACGAACCAAATTACCCCAATGCAAAAAAATTAGATTTAATTCTGACTTTTAAAATTAAACCCGTCGCAGGCATCCTTGTGTATATGGCCATTATGCGGTGGGTAAACCAAGAATTCGAGTTGGACGCCATGATAATGCTGATCACGTCGGCGCTGGCCATAGTATTTAACGTGATAATGGCCGTGCAATTGCATTTGGACAACCCGCACTTTACTCCGGGCAAGTTCAAAAGGTCAAAGGTCGTAGGATCGGAGCAAGGAAACAAGGTTGACTTGGGGTCCCAAAAGGACCCTATGTCGATGGTGGGAAGGTCAGTGTCCACCCAGTTCCATGTAAAGGAAAAACAGAACATCAATGTGCGGGCGGCTATGATTCATGTGATTGGGGATCTCATACAGAGCATTGGGGTTTTTGTGGCCGCTTTGATTATATTTTTTCTGCCGGATTGGGGCTTCATGGACTCGGTTTGCACGTTCCTCTTCTCGGTGCTGGTTATTGTGGTTACAATCAAAATTTTAAAAGACGTACTAATGGTTCTGATGGAGGCCACACCGGATTTCCTGGATTATGAGGAGGTCAAGCGGACATTTCTCTCCATTCCGGGTGTCGAGCACGTCCATAACCTGAGGATTTGGGCCCTGTCCGTTAATAAGGTGGCATTGTCCGCCCACCTGGCCATTTCCAAGGATGCAGATCCTCAGCTGATCCTTGAGGAGGCCACCAAGCTGATCCACAAGCGGTTCGGATTTTTTGAGAGCACCATTCAGATCGAGGAGTATTCGCCGGATATGGAGAACTGTGAGCAGTGCTTGAGTCCTCCGGATAAAAATGAAAGGCGGAAGTCCGCGGACTTGGAAAAGGGCATGGCGGATGGGGACCAAAAAAAGATTCAGATGCAGCAACAGCAGCAGCCCACTAATCCAGAAAACGGATAAAAGAAGAGGCGGAATACTCCATTTAAAGGAATCTTTTCGTGTTTAGCTCTTATAAAAAATATTGTATATGATAATGATAAGAAATTATAATGTGTACCAAATATTATACAAATATTGATTCTAATTTATATGAAATTTAATATTTCCTACATTTTCGTTGACTTATTCAGTTTATTTAACGTCGCAGAATTGAAAATATTTAAATTTAGTGATTTGAGAAGTTGCATACATTTTTCTTTATAGATGGTTGCCATATTTCCCTATTTGGATACAACCTGGTGTATCGCCACCAAATGGACGCGGCACATGGGCTTTTGCATCACCTACACTTCGCTGCTCATGAAAACTTGGCGGTAAAACAAACATCTAAACAAAAATCAATTGCAAACTATTAAGTGATTAATTATTAATTCGTAGAGTTTCTCTGACTTATCGCGTAAAGTCGGCCCACAAAATAAAGCTGAATGACCAGCAACTATTGCAGTGGATGGTCCCCATTCTGTTGGTTATGCTGATCTATTTGGGAACTTGGACCATTTCGGCAACGCCAAATGCTGAGGTGGTAAGTATTAATGATGGCTAATTTTTAGGAACATTTTTCTAACGCTTCCCATGTTTTTGTGAAACATTCAAGATCTTGGACCAGAGTCATTTAAAATTCAAGCAGTGCTCGTACAATTGGTGGGATCACAGTTTGGCTATCGGAGAAGTGTTCTTCCTGGCCTGGGGAATCCGGGTGTGTTACAATGTGCGGAACGCGGAGAGTCTGTACAACGAGGCGCGGCTCATCTCGTACGCCATATACAACATCGCCCTCGTCAACATCGCCATGGTGGCATTCCAGTAAGTGCATTCTCAAATAGTTATATATTTTATTTTATTTTATTTATACCACTTATTGTTATTTATACCACTTACTTTATATTTTATTTTATGAATAAGACAAGCTGTACCTGCGGTGTCTCAGAAATCTCTCAAGATTTTTGGAACGTGTTCTGTAACGCCCAGATTTTAATTTTGGTTAGATTTCTGCGACACCCTGAAATATATTATATTTTTGTTCGGGACTTTTAACAATGAAATTATCAACCTGAAACCTAACCATTATCCTCTTTCTTTTAAACCTAAAACAAGGCTGAAACCTGGGTGCCTTATTTAGCCCTTTCCAGATAGCCTTTGTTTAAATTAAATTTTCTAGAAATTTGTGATTATATCCAGTTTTCTGTGCTTTTTTAAAAAATTAATCTGTTTCCGTTTTATTACACATATGTTTTTTTTAATGGCAGAACTGCTTGAAAGATCATCACATCAAAGAAGCCAGTTTAATTTTAATAATTATTTATTTTTATTTATTAATTAGATATATATGTAAATATAATACTATCAATATATAATAATATACAACTCCCAACTTATACATTTATAAATAAGACTTGTGTAGTGCTTACTTGAATCCAAAAGGGTATTGCCACCTGATGAACCTCTTCCCGGATGGAATTGAATTATAAAGAGTTGACACATGTTGCGTAATCCAAAATGCCGGGGCACGCGTCGCGTCCATTAGGGGAAATGTAAAGCTGCCCGTCTTACGCGGTCCGCTTTTAATTAAATTCCTTTGCTTTGTGCGCGCTCGTGTTCGCGTAGTAATCCTTTTTGTTGGTCTGCAAGGACTCGCATCTCCCCCCATTGGTACGGCTTTCCATCTGTCTGTCGCTTTGTTTACATAGACATTCCCGGCAATCTCCCGGTTTCGAGTTGTCTGCTGGTTTGCTGCGTTCCCCAACTGAAATCCCTTTGATGAAGTCCTTATAATTAATGTAATTTGTTGGGAAACTTGCTATGCCACGCACCTAAACCAATCCTAACTAGGATAGGTTAGTATTGTAGATACAACAATAACTGGTCCCAGAATATTTTACGAAATTCCGGATTGTTAATATATTCACACTTGAATATCTAAGAACTAGGAGTATATATCGCATATTAAATTAATCTTTTAAAGAGAATATTTTTTCCATGATTTTATTTTTGACACATTTTATATTGTATTGTAAAACAAAAGTAATCGAATTTTAATAAATATGTTTATTTTGCCCCTTCAGCGTAATGCTCTTTCCAAATGCCGGACCCGATTACAAATACATGCTGGGATTTGTGCGTACCCAACTTTCGACGACCACCACCATTGCCCTGGTATTTGGGCCAAAGATTTTGCGGGTTTTGAAAGGACAGGGAGACAAGTGGGATCAGAAGGCCAAGGTGAGGAGCATAACAGCCTCTTTCTCTCTGAATGGAGTCGGTCTGGTCCCAGAGGAGTCGCCCGATTTGTATCAGGAGAATGAAGAACTTAAGGTAAGAAAATATTTAAGCTGAAGAATAAGTATCTCAGCTAATGAAATAACACACTTCGACAGGAACAAGTCCAAAAGTTGGCCCACCAAATTGAGTTCATGAAGACTGTGCACATGCAGATGAACAACAGGCATCTGAAGCCAAAGCCGGGCGGATATTTTACCATAACGTCAACCTCGTTTCAAGCCCCTTATAGCAAGAACACGGTTTCCACGGCGCAGACGCAAACTGGCAAGGAAGAGTCCAGGTTAGCTATTTAAAACACCTTAATAAATCTTTTTAAATGGTATACTAATTTTTGAATAGGAATTTAGTATATTTTGGGCGCAATTTTTGGACGTTATTAACTTAGATTTTTTATGAAAAGCTGACTAGAAAGTTGCATTTAAAACTTAGAAGTTAAGACCTCGCTTAAAAGGAAGAACAAGATATATGCAAACTAAGTTTTATACATTTTATTTCCTTCCCAGTAGCACGCCAACGAAATTAAAATCGCCCAAGGGCAAAGTCTGACGAGGTCAACGAAGTGTTAAAGATTGCTCAATAGAAGTCGATGGGAGGCAGGGCTCCACCACCCTGGTGGAGGACGCCATTAATTTTAATTTCCACCAATCGGAATCGGAGGACATGATTACCCTGAAGGGAGAGCAGCCAGGATCAGAGGAGGCGGCCTTGATCGCCCAGTTTCGTCGCCTCTTTGCGCCCATTTTGGATGATAGTTTGAACCTGTACTACCAACTCAACGACTTGGATGACGCGGAGCACGTGAGGATCCATCAAACGGTGGCCCAGTTGAATGAGCTGACCAGCAGCGAAGAGGAGACGATGGTTACCCAGGTGAACAGCCCATCGCCACCGGTGGAGGTGGAGCTACTGCTGCCATTTTCCAGCGATAGTTCCACGTCCAGTAGTTCCCTCTACGCGATCCACACCCCGTCTCCGGCTCATCCCAGTGGTCTGCTCTTGATGCCCCAGAACTTGGAGTCACCAATGCTGTCCTGCAGTGATGCCATCACGATCACCGAGCAGGTGCAACTGCACAATCCGCCGCATCATCTGCAGGTCCTCGAGGATGATAACAACACATCCTGTTCGCTGTCATCGAATCTGACGGATAGCAAAACCCTGGATGGTCGTACACCCATCGTAGTCTGACGGATTCTCCACCCCGACCTGCTTAACTTGTGATTTTGTTTACCCAGTCTTAGAGCAACAACAGTTAGCGAAAAACAAACAGCTTAATGTTTAATATAGTCTTAAATAATGTTGGTGTGTATGTGTCTGTCAAAGTTGTTAATATATTAAAAGCGTTTATGCGGATGAAAGTGCATTGTATTCCTGCAGCAAGTAGTTTTAAAATCATTTTCTGGAACCCAACATTTTTAAACAACCTGAGTATTATAAAAGGAAAAAAGCTTAAGAAATATCCCACCAACTAATTTTTATACCGGTTTTTTGATTTTATTACAACCCATTGAAAACAAAATCTGGTTTTAAAATTTAAGTTCTTGAATGTGAGAAAGTATAAAAAATATTATATTATTGTTATGCTTGGCTTTATTTAACTATTCTATCCAAGGATTATAATTTTTTACAATTTTCTTTAAAAGCTTCCCATCATCTTCAACTTTTCTACCGCATAAACGCAACCTTCATGTGTATGTTATAATGTTTTATTTTCGGCTTTTTAACCATACACCCATCCATTATACCATCATCCATGATCTCCATCGTTTTAAAACCGAAAAGGGATCAGCATTGAGCAAATTTTTCTCACTTCGTTCGGATCGAAAAAGAAAGTTGTATAGAAGAACTGTAGACGGCCAGATGGTCCGATGGGTCTCATAGAGTCCGTCGGAACCCTTAGGGACTTGGCATTAACAAATCTTATTTATCTCTCATGCACCTAGCGAATTAAATTGCATTTTTCCTTCTTCTATTTGCACTCATTCATAGAATAATTATTATTTTTTGCTTCGTAGTGAAATTTACATGGTTTTCATCGTCATATAACCTTTATAAATTTACATCTAAGCATAGCAAAGAGTCGATTTTAGTGTACAAGATGATACATATACTGATATAACAAATAAATAAATAAAAGGAAATTTTAGCGTACTATTTTAAGCTGGGAAAGTGTTAACAGGCGCGCAATTCTTCTTCATACAGTTGGGCAATACGTATAATGAAAAGTATTTAAAAACCAAAAGAAAACACCTTAATACGAAATATAAAACATTGAAAGTAAGTTAAAGTTAAATTAAAATATTGTAAAGGAAACAATATGGCAAAATCAAAAATAAATGTTATAAAAGTTAAGAACATTTTTGGCTGTTTTACTATTGTGTTTTTTAAAAATTAGCCGGTTTCTAGCTTCCTTTTCCATTAACTATAAACACGGCCGGTCATTTTCACTCTGATTTGGAAATACCCTATTAAGTTTATAGAATCTACAAAATTTCCCATGACGAGGCAGGAGCTGCTAGACGAGGAGTTCGAGTCCCTGCGTCGCATTGCGTTGGCCATTTGTCAGAACCTTGGAAGGCCTAAGGATCGCGAGATATGCCGAAGCACCCTCGAAGAGCTGGCTAGGCTCCATCAGGCTCCGTCGATCAGGATCAAGGAGAATGTGCACAAATTCATGATGTTTTACCTAAAAGTGCTAAGGTGGACCCAAAAGAACCAGCCAGTGGATTTATATCGGCAATGGGTAAATTTGCTGATGCACATCTATTATTAAGTTAACAATAACTTTATTTTAGTATGGAGAAAACTTTGGTAACGATTCGAAGTTTCCCTCATCGGCCGCACCTTCTATGGATGAAATGCGAATTTGGTTGGAGGAGGGAAGGTCCTTTTATGCCATGAAAACATTTGAGGACGGCTCCACTACCGTTTTCACAGCAGTGGCCAAAGACCCGAAAGCTGGATGGTCGGAAAATGGTCTGAAAACACTTATGGAAACGCAAATTGGTTGCGCTTTAAATCAAGATGATAAATAAACGTTTTTATATACTTATCATATGCATATTTTGATTGTCGGTGTTTATCTATCGTTTTGATGTGTACAATTGTGTTTTGATATGAAAGTTACATTTCTGTTGTGAATAATTATAAAAGCAAAATAAATAACCTCTGGGAAAAGATGGCTTAATGGTAAAGTTGTATTTTAGTTTTAGAGCCTCCTCCTGTTTTTAAGTAAATCATATACAATGGTATGCGCAAACTGAAATTCTTTTGGGTCGTCGTTTTTAAATACTATCGAAAAATTCCGAAGGTGTTAAAGAGTTTGTAGAGGTTTTTGTAGTACTTTTTTATCAGACTTTATGAATGGTTCGGTTGGTTTTAAATTGTTAATTTTCTTGGACGAGACTTTACGTTTTATGTGCAATAAAACTACAGGAATGTCGGATGAAAACACTCGTTTTTACATTATTTAAACAACATTTTACAAACCACAGACTACTTTGCTTTTATGTTATTTTAACTTGTTAAAATCTGAGGTCTACATATTGACCTACCGCAAAGTTGCCCTTTATAACTTATCGTACAACTTTTTGACTTAATTTTAGACATGTAAAGGTGGACGGAATCGGTTTCTGTTATGAAAGGTCATTCGCAGCTTAGATATTAGTAAAAAGAGAGGTGTGAAAAGGCACTTTTAGTCTGTTTTTGGTGGCGAGAGTAAGCCTGGTTCCCCTCTTAGCTTCTAAGGATCCTGGAGGCAGCGCCGATCAGCAGGAAGCCTAACAGTAGCTGCAGGGACCCGTGCATTTGGATCAGGCTGGCGCCATTGCAACTATCGCTGGAGCAGTAGCACTCTTCCCAGTAAACGCCGTTCTCGTAGACGCCCCAATTGCACACACCAGTAACTCCGGTATCAGAAACGGATGAGCATCTTCGGATGACCTGACGCCAACGACCGTCCCCTGGAGAATAAATGGTGAGTTTAAATTAATTAAGTGAAATTTTGCACTGGAGAAAGATAGTTCGATAAGATATTTAAATCAAATGAAGGTCAAAGTTTCATGGATTTTCGATGTGGATCAACCAATAACTTAGTATACGTTGCCCATGCCATAGTGTTTGGTTGTTGGGCGATATATTTATGACAACACACAGTTTCTATGCCAGCTATATAATTTGTTTGTCTAGTGTTTTTTAATTAAAAAATTAAATTATTATATTTTCCCATAATTTCTCTGCAAGCTTTATGACATAGTCACCCGATTTTACTCAAAATAAAACCATTCCCAAAGGAGAAACTAGGTCATTTAAAAAGGGATGGACAGGATGAAAGACGGACAAGTCTAGATCAACTTGGCTACATTTGCTACTAAGAGCGATTGTCGATTTAAAAATTCCACTAAAAAGTAATATAAGCTGAAAAGCCCAGTGAGGAATGTTATATAGTGAACAGACCCTATTCGATTGTATAATTATTATGGAAACTCAACAAGCTACCTCTCATAAGTAAACATAAAAACTTCAAAACAGGGGTTTCCTGGAATATAATAACCGCATTACGAAGAGATAAGTTAGGGGTTCCTATCCTGACGGATCTCCCCAACTCACAGATAAATCCTCGGGGTCCCTGCTGCACCACCTTCATGCAGAAGGATCCTGGCATGTGGCTCTCGTCGCTGTTGCACTCGATCGCGATGTGCTCCGTGCTGTTGAATCGCTTGTAGGCTCCACAGCTGTCATATCCTTTGCGATCCTGGTCCGAGGAGCACTGGTAGCACCGAATGGCCCAGCTGCCTGCAATAGTTCACTGATTAATCTCAATTACTCGAAAACACTTGCCTAAGCCACACCCAAAAGCCGAGATTAAAAGGTGGCCTATTGGGATTTTAATGACTTAGGCGTTATTACCCACCGCATATAGCCAGTGTGAGCAGGAGGAAGGTGGATCGGATTAAGACATTCATATTTCACTTAAAACTGCTTTGTGCGCTCTGACCAATTTAAACAAAATACGATTAAACAAAAAACAACAAATTGCTATAAACGTTAGCCCAGGTGTGACCGTTTGCGCGGGAGCTAGAAAATACCTAAGCCACAAATTCGTAATTTGTGTGCTCTGGGTGACAGCCCTCTTTTTTTTAATTATGTAGAAAGAAAGTAAGACATTTATCTTCTCTCCTTTTTAAATCGTAATAATTTAATTGGTCAACAAATTTCCAAAAAAGTCTCAGGCGGTTTATATTAGGTTAGTAGGTTAACTAAGTCTTAGATAACCGAAATCCGTTTATCATAACTCGAAATAAGTTATAAAATTTGTTTAAAACACGTGGAAATCTTTTTTTACTTTTTTGGCAATAGCTACCATTTTAGGTGCTCAACTTTACCGGTCTCCAAAGCCTCTGTGTTGCATTTTGACGATTTAATTTTGTAAACTGGTGTTACTTTTTAGAATCAATGTTATTAACTCTAATCTTTTTATGAATTTAGGAGACCAATTTATTTTTTACCAAAGTTAGCTTACAATCGAACGCTTACAATAAAATGTACTTATATTTCTTTTCAATGGCTGAAAAACAAGGAATGCTAATCTATTCAGAGTCAGATTGAATTTTTAAATGATGTTGGACCTTCAGAAACAGTTTTTGGGCTCTTCCACATGCTAAACCATATGAAGGTCTTGAGTCAAAATTTGCATACATTGTATGTTATGTTTGTGGAACGAATATTTTTTGAAAACCGATCGTTTAAAAACAAACAATTTTTAATACACGGTAATGTAGAAAATGTAAAATTCATGTTATAGCAATATTGCCACCCTGATTTCTATCAAAGTTCTTGTCCCTGGTGTGTGTCTGCGATAAAACATAATTTTAAGATAGCATATTTGAACACTGCAGGAACGGTCACACCACTATTTACACGCCCAAAATTTCAATCAGTTGAAAAGAAACGAAAAATACAAATAACAAACAATAAGATGAAAACGCTGGAGAAATGTGTCCTTTCCGTGGTTGTGCTCTGCTGTCTGCTTCAAGTGGGTGAGTAATTGGCCTGAAGGTGTTCCTCCAAGTGCGCCTGCGCAACCGCACAAGGATCCTAAAATGTGTGACTGAATTTTCCAGGCCAGGCGATAAAATGCTGGGATTGCCGCAGCGACAACGATCCCAAATGCGGGGATCCTTTCGACAATAGCACCCTGGCCATTACGGACTGCCAACAGGCGCCGGAGCTGGAGCACCTGAAGGGCGTGCGACCCACGATGTGCCGCAAGATCCGGCAGAAGGTGCACGGGGAGTGGCGCTACTTCCGGAGCTGCGCCTACATGGGCGAGCCCGGAATCGAGGGCGACGAACGCTTCTGCCTGATGCGTACCGGCAGCTACAACATCTTCATGGAGTTCTGCACGTGCAACAGCAAGGATGGCTGCAACTCGGCGGGCGTCCATCGCCTCGGCTGGATGGCGGTCCTTTTTGGCACACTGGTTTCCGTCCTTGTAGCGCAACTCCTGCGGCAATAGTTGGATCTGTCTCCTCCACTTGAAGCCATTGCCACGTCTCCTTTGCCGCAAGACTGTACCAAGACAAGAAGGGATTTCTTAAATTTAAAAGCCCTATTTTTTGGGTGTATATTAGTTAAGAGCAAGCGTGTTGATAACAGAAAACTTGGTTTTTAAGTTTTTTTAACCCCCTTTATATTTTATAAGACTTCAATTAGTGTTCGATATGCAGGAGTGCCACAAAATACACTCCAGCGCCAAGTCTTGTAAAATTTATATCGATGCACATTAGAAACTCACCCCGATTCATCGCGATTTCTGTGCCACCCCCGATAGTTCTTAAAATTCTGGAACTCGGTAATAGTTTTCTTTCTTTAACGAAAGCAACCATTATGGGTTTCATTTCCAATATACTTATGTGCATAGAGTAAGAGTAAGCCTATTGATTAATTTTATACTTCCTATAAATTCTGTAGCCTAAAAAAATATTTTCAGAGTCCGTTGCTTGACGCTATTCAACGCCATCTGTAAAACGCATACCCCAGTAACCCAAATATTTAAAAAACCAAGATTTTTGTAATCAATATTCGCTTAAACCGTTGGAGTTGCACAACTTTAACTGCAAAGAAACCTTTTGTACAAAATCCCTGCATTGAATTATGGACAGTCTTGTGTAAAATGAGCAAAAGGAATTGAAGTGCCTTTCTGTAAACGACTCGAAACATATCTTAAGCCTGGAAAACTATTTCCGTCCAAAAAATATCTTACGCACATGACCATCCATCTTGTAAGCTCAATATTGTAATCTCCGCTATTTTATACTTGCTTTTTGCAATGCGTATACAAAGAAACACTAGTTTTAGTCGCCAGCAGGATTACAAGTTTTTATTTTTATGAAAAGACAATTAGAACATTTTTGTAATGAAATAAACAATTTATACACCAATGGGATTGTAATTTTAATTTTAAATTAAAGTGTGGTTACCCTCAAAAGAATTTGGTTTACGAAATTGTGTTAAATTGGGTATGAATATCTCTAATGAGTCAACATCTTAGTAGTTTTCACTGTCGTTGTAACAGTGCAGTGTTGTCTTAGAAAATTCCGGAATATATATATTTTTTAATTCCCTGATGCTGTGAACAGTGAAGTGTTATTTTACAAGTCTCCGGGTTAATTTGTTCATTTAAGTTTCCCGATACTTTTGATATCTTTCACCTTATCGCCTAATAAGATGTAATATGGATCTATAAAATTTGGATTAATCTTGCCTTGAACGAATTCAACTAAAGGGGCAGTCTTTTTCTAGAGACAATGTTCTTCGTTTCAAAATAAAGTGTGATTTTTCTGCTTGAAAACTACTTGGAATTATTTACATATCTCCCTGAGAAGTCTCTTAATAAGATGGTTTATAAAGTTTGGCTTAATCTTGCCCTAAACCGAACAATTAAAAAGATATTTTTTCTGAAACTTAGTTGTACGTCTCCAATAAAAGTGTCTCCTTGAGAAGTCTCTTAATTAAATATAAGATGGCTCTATAATGTTGGTCTTAAGTTAACTTAAAATATATGTTTTTCTTGAGAGTTGTTTTATGTCTCGAACTACAGTATGAAATCTCGGACGACGTGATCATTGTAATTCCAGTAGTCGTCCTCGAGATCTAAAGAATCTTCCATTTCCATATTCTTGCTAGCACGCTTAGAAACCGTAGCCAGATTCTTCCACTTTTTGTGCTGTTTAAATACTTTGGAAGCCTTCCTATTGTATTCTTCCTCCATCTTACGTTTAAGTGCAGCTCGTGTTAGAACTCTATCCTGATTTTTCTGTTGATCGTTAAACTTCTTCGGAGTTATGTCCCGACTATTCCCGAAATCTATGAAATCGTCCTCATCGAAATCCAACAAAGAGTCCCCGAAATCTGAGGAATCGTCCATATTTCTGTTTTTGCCAGCAGTTGACTTTCTTTGGTGTCCTATTTGAAGTTCATCCTCGTCAAAATCCAACAAATAGGAATCGACCCTACCTCTCTTGTTGCTTCCACTTGACTCATCGAAGTTCTTCTTTCCAGCACTTGATTTTTTATTTTTCCCCGTTTGAAATACATCCTCATCGGAATCCAATATTGAATCCCCGAAAAATGAGGATTCCTCCATATCTTTCATCTTGTCTGAAGTTGACTTTTCTTGGTTTCCTTCTTGAAGTTCAACCTCTTCGAAAGCCAATAAATAGGAATCGTCCAAACCTCTCTTCTTGCTAGCACTTGATTCATCGAAATCCAACACATAGGTATCGTTCATACCCTTCTTCTTGCCAGCACCTGTCTTTCTACGTTTTCCTGGTTGAAATACATCCTCATCGAAATCCAAGATTGAGTCCCCGATATCTGAGGAATCGTCCGTATCTTTCTTCTTGACAGAATTCGAGTTTTTTTGGTTTCCTAGTTGAAGTTCGTCTTCATCGAAATCCAACAAATAGGAGTCGCTCATACCTTTCTTCTTGCTAGTAGTTGACCCATCGAAATCCAACAAATAGGAATCCTTCATCTCTCTCTTCTTGCCAGCACTTGACTCATCGAAATCCAAGATGGAGACCTCGAAATCTAAGGAATCATACATGTCTACTTTCTTTCCAGCACATGACTTTTTCAGATTTTTCTCATCGAATTCCAAGATTGAGTTATTGAAATCTAAGGAATCGTCCATTTCTCTCTCCTTGCCAGCACTTTGAATTTCTTCATCATCGAAATCCAAGGTTGAGTCCCCGAATTCTGAGGAGTCGTCCATAACTACCTTCTTGACAGCACAGGACTTCTTCAGGTTTTCCTCATTGAATTCCAAAACTGAGTTCCCGAAATCGAAGGAGGTGTCTCTTTTCTTGTAATCACGCTTAGGGACCGGAACCTTTCCGCGCGGAGTCATGTCGGGTTTAGAGTGTTCGTTTATAGGAAGTTGTGCAGCGTGTATCTTCTTGCGTTTGAGAGCAGCACGCGTTTGAACTTTATCCTTTTCCGGAAATATGCCCTGTTTTTCCAATTGAGGGACATTGTTCCGATTTTTGTGTTGCCTCAAGTCTTTCTTGAATTTAAAGAGTGCGTGCTCAAAATCTGGGGAAGGGTCCACTCGTTTCTTCTTGTCAACACGCTTCGGAGCTGTGTTCAGATACTTTCCCGGATTGACATATAGTTTCGGAACTATAACCTGCTTTGGCACATCGGAATCCATTGAGTCGTTCTCATTGAATTGAAACACGCTTTTTTGGGATGCAAAGGAGACCATCTTCTTGCTTTTAAGCCCAGAACGCACCTCGGAAGCCATACTCCTCACAGGACCTGATTTGGTAGAACCTCTTAAGTTGGTGCCACGGGTTACCCTGTGATTAGCAGCGCGTCCTCTTTTACGTCCTGCATTGGATCTACCTGCGCGGCATCCACTAGTTATCGGCCGGCTGTATTCCATCTGCAAAACTAAGCAATTGGCGTAAAACTATAATAAAAACGTCGGACTTGCCATAAACAAGTCAGTTCCAATTCGCTAAAGAAGAAGAATGGCAGATGTGATCGAAAATGTATCGATAGTATCGAATAAAGCTTATATTTTGCTGAAGTTTCGACACTTTTTTTATTCGATTTTATTTTGCTGGAAATTAAAAGTTAAAGTTTAGTTAACTTAAGCAGATGCATCCCAGTACTAGTACACAGTACTAGTGCACTAGTTGTAAATAAATATAAGCGTTAGGTACATGTATTTTTTTATAATTCTTGAGAAAGTACTTTTTCAGTAGTAACAGAACTGCATTAACAGAAGTGCAAAATAGATACCATTTATTTTAAAACTGATTATGAAAATGTAGACTCAAGAACGTTAAAATAATACAACATTTGGAATTAACATACCATAAATACAATAAGGTATTTTCAGATGTTTAAAAGCCCATTTTTTGACACCTGCACTCTTTTCAAAGGCTTCGTCTCGCACTTTAAGTCCTTATGTACATACCTATAATAACTTTGAAGACATATGGCTCTTAAGACATAGCGTATTTATACTTGAAATCTTTTTAAACGGAACTTACTCAATTTCATGAGTAGTTTCATATTTTGAAACCTTTTTTTTCTTTGTGAAATTCCAAAGCCTTAATAATGCTGCAAGTCGAAAAAAATGTTTTTTAAAATACTTGTTCAGAAAACCATACAAAATCAGTAGATAAGTTTAAAAATAAAAATAATTTCAAATAAACTTCAAATGCATAGTATGCTATGCATATTTGCAAGCGGATATCTCTGAAATTTCTTTGTATGTTATATAAAAGTTACAATGCATTTAAATAAATATCCATACTTAACCAACCATTTAACTTATCAAAAGTTTGTGGAATACCCTAAATATTTTATAGCTTCGCTTCATAGACAAAGCAGTGCATTCGATAAAAGCCTCGTGGAGGCCACATTTTCTCCCATCTCTAATTCCTTCTTCCTTTCGTTTTGTTCGTTTTGTGAGCGTGGTTGGGTTATTTTAATTTGTTAAATGTGCTATTTGAATCTGAGATAAAATGTTGTTCATCCTTTAGATAAAGATGTTACGGGTGTTTGTTTGTTAAGAATTGTTTGTGGGCGTTTCATTTCGAGCCTAAATTGTGTTTTTACCTTCTAACTGGCAAGTCCCGTTGTCGCCATCTTGGTTTTCTTGACATTGTCCGGCGTATTCTATTTGTTTTTTGTTCGACTAAACGTTTGATTTTGTCAATGGATGTGTTTAACGAGTGCGACATTGGACTCGTGGATACTGAAGATCTTCCTGACAACTTTCTTAACTTAAGTCAGATGCGCTTGGAGTTAATGGACTATTACAGGTATGAAAGATGATAATGGCTACCCTATCAGGGGTCTTATGATTAGATTCTAATCTAAAAATCTCGTCGATACTTATTCTTTTATATTTGTACGCAATTATGACCTAAAAAATGTAACTAAGCTAAGTTGTTCAAAAATACGTATTGAAAATATTTTTAAAGTTATTATAACTGTGGACGCCAGTCCACGTAGTGACGAATCGCACCGGGAGATAGCCGCCGAACTGAAAATTTGTTACGATAGTCCGATCGAAACAAAATCAAACACACCAATCGAAAGGTATTGTTATTCTTTTCTTCTCTGCTAAGGCTTTTTAAAGTTCCATTGGTTTAACAGAAATTAAGGTTTCGTTATTTAAATACGCGTCGAACAATAGCAAAAAACATCCCAAGTACACGTTATGAAATTTTAAAGAATCTTTTTGGTAATTTTTAATTTTAAGACCTAAATGTGTGTTTGTTAGTGTGTCCGATCTATTTTATGTTTTAGGGAACTAGTTTTTTTGTAGCATAATAGCATAGTGTAGCATAAATCAGGTTGAGCTGAAAAACTTTTGCTATTTTGGAAAAACTAGCTAGTTAGTTGGGCGGGAAATAGCTAGAAAAAGACGAATTTCAAGCTTTCAGTTTCTAAACAACTACAAAAATTCTAATCACGTTTCCCCAACATAATTACTCTACATATAGTAGTTTTGAAATTATGCGTAAAAAAAGTTGTTTTAAACAGTTTTATGAAATTGGTCCCAAGACCTACAGTGGTCGGCATATGTATTTTGACAAAATAAAAGTTAAGTATACTCATAACTTGAATTTACTTCTTGTAAACTATAGGCATCAATGGAAAGGTAATTTCAATGCCGTTTGAATGATACAATACATTTCTTAACCCATTCAGTATTTATTGAAAAGGACGAATTTGTGTAAATCAACTTTTAAATTTTTTTTAAAAACTTTTTTCTTCGTCTTGAAAACTTAAATTTTTTGATGCAAAAAGTTTCTTCAAACAAAAACAATAGTAACTGCAAAAAGAATTTTTCAAAAATCATTTTTCTTATATTTTTTATGAATTTTTGAAAATGCTTAAAAACAGGCATTTGAGCCATATTTTTCTCTTTTTCATACAAATTTTTTCCGACATTGTCACCTTCAAAAAATCATAAAAAATATAAGGAAAATGATTTTTGATCTTACAATTCATTTTCGTCACAAAAGATGATAACAATCATTGCGCTGAATTTAAAGCTAAGGAAATTATATATGAAATCTCAACCATTTAGCTAATTTAGTTTCATAGATTAGTGTTCCTTATCAAGAAACGAATCTTTCTCCCTCTTACACACTTTTGAGTGAACTCAATATACCCTTTCATTCTATGAGTAACGGCTATAAATATACGTTTTATTTAATATTTAGTTTACTTTATTCAAGAATTTAATTAACAATTTTTATTTTTTTGTACAGGTACGTTATCCACATTTATATTATAAATTCCTGGATCAGTTTTGGAACCGCCTCACAAGCTCATATGGACGGCGAGGATTGCCAGAAGAGCCGTCGCACTGACAGCCAAGAATCGTCCTGCTCCGGAGGCATTGCACAGGTCACCTTTGCAGGTGTAGCAGCTCTCCACCTGCCGACTGTGGGTCACAGTGCACTCATTCTCCTTCTGCCCAATGGACTCAAAGTGGCAGTCCCGAGATACAATCGTTCCAGCACGGTCTGTGAAACAGAATTTTAAACTAAATTATTATATTGCTTCATGATAAGAAGACCACTTTTAAAATCGTCATAAACGTTGTAGCGAAATCGGAATGCCTATGAACAATGAATGCGTGTTTAAGCACACAATATTCATAACTGTGTGTTTAAATGTCTTAAAAACGTTTTGGTTCAAGAATTTGAATTTGATATGAATTTGAGTAGGATGCTGTGAATATAAGAAAACGGGACAAATATGGGACATTGTTATGCTTATTGCTACGATACATCATTTTGTAGAATTATAAACAAGCCGACACCAGTTGAGCAAATATAAACATGTAAATATTGCATCTTTCACAAGAAAACTATTCGCCTTAGTCGCAACTTCCACTGCTTTTAACAATGCAAAACAAATTGCAAACTATACAACTTTATTTATTTCTAATGAAATAATGAGAAAAAATATCAAATCAAATTAGCAAAACAAATTGTATTACATTTGTATAGTCCAATCGACTTAATTTATATAATTTTAATTTTTTACTATTATTTGTTTGGTTTTAATTTCTTTAATTAGTATTTTATCACATTTTACATATATATATATATTTACTTGGACTTTTTCGGTATTTATATTTCCTCAGAAGCTTATTTCGTTCTTACCATTTTTATAACTCTTTTTTGAAATTGATAAGCTGATATTCATGCTGTTGTTATCATCCAAAAACACTTATTTTTATTTTTTAATGAGTGATTTCTTTAATTTTTTTCGCCTTCAGTTTTAAGCGCTATCGCCATACGACTGAGAAACGCACTGTATCTGCTTTGCGTACGATTTCTCAGTTTGTGTTTTGTTTGCCATATGTTAATTGGAACTCGTACCCCCTTCCCGATCTCGACTACTAAGTTCGGGTGACATCACGTCTTAAAGCGTTTATTGCGTTCAAGGTGCGTGCCCCTCTAATATTGGAATCAGTATGCAAGACGGGATCTGCCTGGGATTTCACTCACCGCTGGTCACCACCTTGTTGCACCTGGTCACTGGCTGCAGTTGGTCCATAATGTTCGGTTTCGGCACAGTATCGCAATCCACGGTGCGGATGTTGGAGGCGGCATCGATCTTGTCCTTGGCGCAGTTGGGATCCGTCAGGGATTTGCACTGATAGCACTTGATGGCCGAGGCTGAAGGAGACAGAAATAGTTTGAATTCAATTAATATTTATTAATTCACTCCAGTGGCTTGGTCTAGGTCGCCGATTTAAATTTGCTTAGTTTGTAACCAGTTTGGGATCTGAATTTCCCTCTCGATCTCACTCGATCGCCTTATGTAACGCCCTCAGCCGAATAAACAATAACTCTCAGCCCATAACTTCTCCAGACCCTGTTATTTGATGGCAATGAAGTCATTTCTATACTCGTTTGAAAAACGTATGGAAAAGTACGTGAATATTTCGGTTTTTTATACGTATTGTTGATTTTTTTAGCTGTCATGGTGTGCTTATTCTTCTGAAATTATTGTGGGCGCGTTTCAAATACTTTCTTGGCGGACGTGATGATAATATTGTTTTAATTAATTTATTTAACATATTTTTTACCGATTGACTAGCAAGTTTCTTTTTAGCTAATATTAGTATGTTTTCCCTCTAACATTTTCTTAATTTATTCTTTTTAATGGCGGTTCATTTAAAAGTCACTTTTTTAAGTTACACTCAAAACTGGTTTTCGTTTGACATAGATTATTTCAAATTAGTTGTTTATGATGTTTCCACAAGGAATGTTATCTAAAATGGAAGGGACTTACCACTGTGCATCATACACAAGGCAATGAGAAGAAGACCGATCACTTGTTTCAGCATATTGGCTTAAGTTATTAAGTTCCTTCAATTTTAAACTTGCAAGATTAGTTGAAAAACTTTCGGTTTGATCAGTTTGGCAGACAGTGAACAACTGAAATTAGATTCGTGCTTGTTTTCCGCACTCTTTTCGTTTTCGACTTGTTTTCGAGTGAGATTAGCAAGAAAAGCTTTGCTCATCCACTCAAAAATGGGCATAACTTGAGTGAAACTCAAACGAGTTTTTCGTTTGTTATGTCAATTTAGCGATCCACGCATTGGGGTCGCTGAAAATAAAACTATTTTGTTTTGATCAACAGATTCGTAGGCGGTCATATATAATTTTCTGTACTGCCGTTATGGGTCCATTGATTGTTGGTGGTGTGAATTGGCTGCGGTTGAACTGTGGGATTTTATCATCAATTGAATTTAGTGCGGATAATGGAATTAAATTGCAAAGTGACATACTTCTCTGATTTGGGCTATTGAACTTTTATTGGCAAGGTGATAGGTATAATGAATTGGGATATTGGTAAACGGCGTCGAATCAATTCGAGATATCTAACTGAAATTTAATTTAATAAAATGTACCTGTTAAACTTCTTAAGATCTAAAGAGTGTTATAGAGTTTTAATTATGAATATTATGTATTTATTTATAGTTAAGATGTTTGTTTTTGTAATTATCAATAAGTGGGTACTGCCTTACCTAGACCTTCTAGTTTAAATTCTTATACACATGAACCATAATTTTATTTTAAAAAATTAATTCCTTTAATTTTATTTCATTTTCAGTTGTTGCTACAAATTTTTCACGTTCTTCCATAAAATTGGCTGATTATCTTCTTGAGAGTTCGAAGACCTTGAGCAGCTCATTTAATCCTTTTCCTATTGTTGTCTCGTCCTTTGAAACTTTACTGGAAGTCTGTTCCTCTTTTTTTGAGCACTGATTGCTTATTTTGTTGCATGTTATTTGAGCAATCGACTCATTGAATCTTTTCCTTTTGTCTGTTACCATGGCAATTTCGGTCTAAGAGGAAAATTCTGCGATAAGAGCAGCCGTCTGGGGAGCAACAAATCCTTTTCGTGAAATGGAAGGAGTTTGTATGTCGAAGTTATAAAATTGCCTTTTTAGAAGATCTATAAATCTTTTTTTCTACCTTTCAGTTTAAATAGTCAGCATACCCCCAAACAACTTTGTCACATTACAGAACTTCTTCATGCTAAATTAACTTCTCACATCTTAAAGCTTTTTGAGCGTATTTTTGTTGAGTAAAACATTTTGTCGGTGTAGCAAAACTTGTTTCAATTGCGCCGCAAAAACAAAAATTTAACTCAATGAGTCCGTCAATTAGCATGGTGTACCAAATATTTAAATCCGCGCACTGAGCACAGTTCAATGGATTAATTACAAAAAGTAATCAAATTATTGTACATAATATAATTATCAGAAAAAATACAACGGCATTAATTTTGTTGTTGGGTCACTGCGCTGTTATACGTTGTTTTCTTCAAAATTATTTCGATTTGCTTGTTTTGTTCATCGCATCATTAAAATTGTACAATCTTTAAAAATGTTATTGAATGTGTGAATAAAATAAAATAAACCCATTAAGTTTAAAAGTCGACCAAAAAAAAATTTATTAAACACTTCAACTTGCTTAAAAAATTCCTGTAACAAATTCTCTTTAATTTGTTTAATTTTTCAGATAGCAGAAAAATGTTTGGACACCCCCTGCAAAACATCTAACTTGCTATAGATATTTTTCAACTCACTTTGGTTGCGCATAATTAGGAAATGTTTCATTGGATCGATCTGACAACAATGTGACCGATAATGCAATTCCAAATGAAAAACTTCATGAAAGGGTGATGCTTTTGGGGGGACATAGACCATATTCAATTTCCGGCTTCTCAGCGAGTTCATTGTTGAAATATTTTGCATTCGATTGCATTGTCAAGCCGCCAATTTGCCACATAATTACGAATGCCTACACGCGTGGAATTTTCGGGGGCAGGGAGTCGAATGTTGTGGTTCATGATTTACACAATATCTTAAGCGGATTTGCTTTTCCCATTTTGCCACAACCCCATCTCACTTTTCTTGGCTTTATTCTGTGGTCAGCTGCAGCAGCAAATTCTGATTGAATTTCTTTTATCTTTTTTTTTTGCCACCGCATAGCGAGCATACAATTTTTCTATTATATTTTAGATGAGGAGAGGGCATGAACAGTTGCATCCTTCGTCTACTTATTTCTCTAGAGATGTTTGCGTTGGCTTTAAATTCAATTATATATTGGGGAAAAGATGGCTAAAAGTGTATAGAAATGGAAACACCGAAAGGCAGTTTATTTTGTAGATACTCTTTTTTTTACCTATAGCTAAGACATTTTCTTAAACTATAAGATTAATGTTGACTATAGGAAAAAAAAAAATAAAATAATTGTAGTTTTATATTTTCTTCTTTACCATTAAGAGAATTTCACAAATAATATATTTGGAAAAATAAATTTAAAAAATCACTTCCTATTACACTAAAATGTTTTAAATTGAAACAAGTTATTGCATTATTTTAAGCAAAAAGGAGATAATCGATTTGAAGGTTGTTAAGGGTCTAAGCCACTGGTAATATTCTGGTAAAATAACGATTTGTAGAGCAGTTGAATGCCGCCTATTTGTACCCACATTCTCAGTTTGTCTGCAGCGTTCTTGGTTGTTATCAACATTATTATCAGGCTGAGGTTGATGTGTCTCATCCCCTTTTCTTTCCACATTTCCACTTTTCTATCGGAACCAGTTGCTCCAGGTTGAATACGGAGTCTGGAGTCCTGTTGCCTGTTGCTGACCATTTTTCGCAATATGATATTTATAGCTATTTCATACTTATTATATTCAATCTGCTTTTCGTTGCACTCGGACAGCAACAAATTGGAGAAAATCCCTTCAACGAAATTTGACTTGCTCTGCACAATTTTAATAAGCTTATGGCAGGGGTATAAATCTCGTCTTCCTTTTCGGTTTGGCTCGGTTCAGTCTGGTCTGGCCAATTGTCATTTCATTTGGAAAACCTGCTCTACCAGAAAAGAGCTGAAAATGTTCAATTTCGTCTCAGGATTCCCCTGCATTTAATGGCGGAGAAGAAGGACCGAGGAAGCAAAGTCCGTTACCGAAAAACATAAACAAATTGTTTGGCACTTTGCAGGGAAACTAAAACACGCCCATCTAATCTGTTCAATAACTTGGAAAATCATTGCCAATAAATCAAAATGACTTTGCAGGATGTGTGTAGTATCCGAGCTCCGAGGCAGGCGAACGATAAGAAATCAATGTCTGGCTGGCCATTGTTGGGCTGAACTTGAAGGGCGGCCTTTAAGAGCTGGCCCTCGTAGGGAAATTTAAAATTCAACACTTCGGGGGCGGCATAAATTGCACATTTTATTTTACGCAACATCAGCAGAAAATCCGGAGAACGAAAAGGCAAGGAAATCCATTCGCCACCACTCAGCTGTACTAAATTGTTCCTCGGGGCTGTTTAAGGTTAGCTTTGGCTCTTTCGCTTATTTTTCTAGATTTTTAACGCTGCAGTTAACACATCATTTTTCGGGGCATTGTTTCGGTCGCTTTCCATTATCTTTCACTTGCGATCTAATGAAGTGTGCAAAGTGTTGTCTGCCCAACCTCAAGCCCCCACCTCTATGTGTCTATTTGTATGCATTGCGAGGGAGTCCCCATTAGCAGATGCGTAGAAATGTTCGAGTTAGAGAGGGGAAATCGAAAAATGGTTTTATTTTGTTTTGCGTATTAGTACTACAATTAAATATATAATTTTTTTTTTCATTTTCTTCCTTTTCTTTGGTTTTTGTAATCAAATGATTCTATCTATCAACTTTATTACCATTGAATAAATAAGATTGTTTAAAATTCAGTTTTAATTATAACAGTCTCATCAATAAATTTAGTTTTTAGTATATTGAGTGTGCCCGTATATAACCATCTGAAAACAGTTTTAGGCATCATTGGTTTTTGAAAATCATTAAACCACTTTAAAATATTTATAACTAAACTGCTTAATATATTTTTAAACATAATACATGGTTGGAAAACAAAAAGGATTTTTAAAAAGAATATTGAATCGATGAAAAATAGAGTTTCTTTTTATAAGCGGAGCTGCTTTCCCTTAATAAACCCCCTTGTGGCTGCCTCTGCCTTGTACGAAATGAGTCCCTGACCACTTCGCATTTATGCACCGCTCCACCCAAAATAACCCATCCCATTCCAGAACCCGTAACTTGGAGCTGCTGAACTGCTGCTGCTGTCCACGTTTAATGTCACTGGCAAAGTCGCAAATTGCTGTGCATGAGCTTTTTATGTTCATGCAAATGTCACCAACTGCACCATTTTCTGATGGAGCCTCGCCAGTGCTATTCCACCTCTTTTAGCACCACTCCCTTGCTCCTTCCCCTTGGCCTCCTGCTCAGCCATGAAGACTCAAACTTTTGATAGCACTGAACATAAAACTATATTTCCTTGCTTAGTATGCTTTATTTCCGACTTTGTTTATGACTAACCCATTATACCTACTAAAAACCTGTCCGAGTTCTTTACTTAATATATGCTCCAGTAGTACCTTGCAATGGCGATGCCAACAGTTAAACTGGCTGTCGTAGACATCATCACTGTTTAAATTATTTTTGGCTTTTTTTTTCTAATCAATTCGATTTTCCCCAAATTCTTCAAAAAATAAGAAATATTATGGACCATGATAGCAAATTTTACATGAATTCCTTAACAAAATGAGACCGCGAATTCTTCAGAAGATAAGTAAGCAATATCAACCATAATAATCTATTTGTTAAAAATAAAACCGCAAATACTTGATCCATAGAGAAAAAATGGACTTATATAAAACACGCTGACCTTATTGATACCTTTTACTTATAGAGCCATAGGTTTATTTAAAGACAAAAAAGACAGCAATTTTTTTAGAGAAGGCAAAAGAGTTTTATTCGATTTATGCTCGATTTGTCAAAAGCTTCTGTTTGCTTTGGGAAGTAATTTAAAAGACCTCATATTAATTTAAAACTAAAATTGTATTTTTTATATATGCGCGTTGTCTTACAGTTGA